CGGTTTAAAATTGACTCTTCAATTTCCCTTTTTTAACGATTCCCTGTCTAATCTAATTATTACAATTGTTGTTTCGCTTTTATCTGACGATCGTTTTGTTTACACCAGATCTTTGTTGTTCAGTCCCCATTATTACAAATTCCGGTTCTGCCCTTCAAAAGTCTAAGTAGAGATGATCTTTAATATTAGTGCCATCAACAACTCGATTTAAGTTGAATATCGATGAAGCTACATTACAAACGGATGACATTGTGGATCGAATTCGTATTAGTCACCGACGCTACGTGTAGACATTCAAAATTATGCAAATATCAAATTAATTCGCGGTTAACGTTGCCATTCGTGATTTTCGACCACCTATTCAGCAGGGGAGGAAGTCTAGAATCGAAATGTTGCCTAAATAATAGGACGATGACTTTGTATGATATAATTATTTGCGGTTTGAATACAGAGTTGCTGATCAATGAAACATTGAATGTGTCTGCTTTGTTTTATAATGTGGATGTAAATTGAGTACTTATAAATATGAATGTATGCACCTATGTTTGTACCTAACTAACTATATCGTTTTTCTGCAGCGCAGCGGTATCGCTTCCTGTCGATACTGCAGCTCTATAAGGTACGCTTGAGGTTTATCTGTACATGTAGGGTGGATAATAAACAGCGTATAGGTCATCTAGATGCTTATGAATAAAGATTAACTACTAGTTTTAATCAAGTGATTTTTATTATGTGAGCGTCACTCCAATCTTACTAAATTCTTATTAGAATTTTTTCGCGGTCAAAATTATTCGTCCATCACTGCAAGCAAGGTCCTATATTTTCTTATTTATTACTTGAATAATTCGACCTTTTTGTTCTGCTATGCTAAATAAAATAAGTAGACAAAGGGATCCTAGGGACACGGTTGTCGCGTCGTAGGAGATTTGATAAATTAGTCTTTTCATAGTTACATTAATACGCTTTTTGAGAACAAACAAAAACATCACGGCATATTTTTATATTTTATTTATTTCATAATCTGTGGTCCAAAAACTGTAATGCTGTATAATCTGGGTTGATTGATTGATGGTCCTTGTTGAGACTTGAGACAGACACTCATTACTTACCAAGTTATTTACGAAGGTTCGCTGTCTGTGTATTACTGAAGGTAATTAGTATATACAGCCTTCAACTTTGTACATAAATCAACTGGAGCCTATCATGGGCCTGGGGACATAGTACTTTCGTAATTTACATCGGAAATCGATCATTTGGGCCTCAGATGTTTAATTTTCTAATACCATCAATACTATACTGGGAGCAAAGAAACGGAGTTACTAGTTAGTGTTTCTTAATCGAACCCTATACAGCTTTAAAAAAAATATTTCTTTTACAACAAAATGCTCATATTTTAATGATAACTAAATTGTCTTTCATACGACATATGTTACCAATTAATAAAATACTTGTATCAGAAAATATTCATCAATAATTTAAACAGAAACAATGTTAGAAGCTCGGTTCTTTGCTCCCAAGTGAATTACGTGTTCTAGTTTAAGAGATAGTCTAGTTTTTATCAGACTTTATCATGGAACCTTGATGTCCATCATACATTATGTCTTCACATATTTAACAGAAGTAATGTTTAGTATATGGTAACCATGGTGATGTGAGTACACGTTACCAAGTACTGTAATATTCAGTATCAGCTTTGAACTCAAAGAAAACTTGTAGACATGTCTGCTAGATATTAGTTTATTTATTACTGACGTTAGTTTTACTTTATGGTAACAGAAAATATGTTTTCATTATAGTTACATTAGTTAAAGTGAAACCAACTCTGTTGGAAGGGGTATAAAACTGCTTTTGCTTTTATTTTATAACTTTTTCCTTATAGGATGTTTTAGAAACTAATCTAGGACGATAAGGACAAGATTTTGCTTATCTTTAAATAAAATGCCATATAAATTAAGGAGCAGTCAGTTTTGTGTTTTCAGACAGAAATGCAGTTCTAATCAAAGTCCTTATGCATCTTGTGTTAATTATTGAACCATATCATGTTAATTATCTCTACAAACATCCATGGCTATGAAATAGTGAATCATATCCCATGTCGGAAATTTTTATCTTCGAAAAAATGAGCAAATTAAAATAAGATGTTTTTTACCCTATAAACAGGTGGAACAAGAAAAGTCAATTAGGTAGAATGAATTGTTTTTATTACATATTTGAATAAGATCAATTAAGATCTAAACTACATTCAAATCATACTTGGGATGTTTATTCTAGTTCCATTTAATTTCCTTAACAGCTTCACATTACTGCCAGACCGAACACACAGAGAAAATGCATATAATTTCGTAGTTTATCTGTAGAGCTTTAAATAATGTTTGTGCTTCTGAACAGAGTGATGAATTAATGAGATCATTGATGACCCTAGGAACCAGGAATAGCTGTGTGATTACAGCTACTTGATCATAACATTGAGTAACATTCATCAAGCCAATGAATCAACTGCAAAAACGAAGCCAGCAGTCGCCCACGACACGAGAGGTGGCGCGGAGCCGCGCAGCGAGCCTGCCAGTGTGTGTGTATGCATTGTGCATGGCAAGAAGTCGTCAAGCCGGTCTCACTATCTAACACCCACTCAACACTCAAGCCACACGGTACCGCATACACCTCTGACCAATCCCATCGACGCTTCACACACGAGTTTCAACCATTTTCATTTTAAAATAAATGCATAACACAAGAAAAAAGGCACAAACTTCATCTCGTATTTAGATCACACCGTTATGTTATTTCTGAATGAAAAATGACTCAGATGACCAATATAAATAATTTTGACCCAAATTACTCTATTACGCACACCGGTAAAATTGGGTAAATGCTAACAAAATAAATAAAACACACGTAAAAATTACGTACCTTCATTGTCGTTGTTTCCCTCAGCGCCGTACACCGAAGTCACCAAAACTCCGAGGCACAAAACGCTCAAAAACCTCACAATCATTTTAACTGATTATAATCTCGCACTGAGTTCACAGTTTAATCGAAAATAACAATTTATACACTCGACATAGTCAAACCGATGACACTCGCGCTGCCGAGCAGCGATCAGCCTTTCGCAAATGGCGGCGGATGACGGATGTGTTCATCGATTGCACTCAGGTTGGGGCGTTTACGAAGAGACTTATAGAATCATAGAATGTTCTTGCAACACTGACCACGTGGGAGAACGGAAAGCATTGCTCAAATATTTTATTACTAAAAATGTATTTCAGAAAGTATAATTATTATTATTTCTAAAATAAATTCCTTACAATTTATCTATAGGAGTTTTTTAATAAACAAACGACGTAAATGTGATGTCTGGTAATGGCAACTCCAAAGCATTATGAACTTTGATTATCTTCATCTCTTTTATTCACTTTGAGTACACGTTTGTTAAAAAGAGATACATCATCAATGAAACATCTTGTTCGAACGTAACTTCAATGTCACATTCTAGAAAAATAGGGAAATCTGTATGACCACCATGTTAAAAATTCAATGCTAGATTAGATGATATAATAGATGTGCTTAGATACGTATAATTGATTTTTCAATGATGAAAGAATCTTACTGTAGGTATGTATTACCTTAACGTGCAAATAAAGAGTTTGAGTTACTGATAATTAAGTATTATTGAGTATTATTAATTTATTAATTATTTAAAACTAGATGACCTGGCAAACTTCTTCTTTTAAACTTTCTCTGGACTTCCAAGAATATTTGAGTTCTACGAGTTTTAGTGAGACTAACGAACAGAAATTCATTTTTACTTATTTAGATTATTGAGGCTTGATGTATATTAAGAAAAGCCGTTTATTAATTCAAAGACACGTCTTTAAATCACTTTATTGCCCACGAATTACATACAAATACTTAATGTAAATGATATTAAAATATGTAACACGATTAACATATTTGTAGTAAAATGCATTGTGTCATTCAATCGTATTGTAGTATAAACTAGACATTATAATGTTTTCTGATTCCTATACTTATTAACAGCAGTACGGCAGTACCAGTCGAATGGGGCCTACTGTATTGAGTGTATTCTTATCCTCCTGATGGCACTAGTATAATTCTTTTGTTTTTCGTCCAATAGAATATTACCTAGTGTCACACTATTGGACGTTCAATATTTGACAGTTGCTGTAATTGGACAAAAAACCTTCTATATTTGCGCCATCTTGTGAGCAAACATAGGTAAGTCCCCATCCCCTTTGAAACATATCTTATTTTTTATGCTCTCTGTAAATGGTCATTTTTAGATTTCTTTTATTTAATTTTCTCTATTAGTTCCAATGTATTTTAAGTTGTAAATATTTACTTTTTTCCTTTTTCTTAAAGTTACTCACTAAGTTCTTCTATATTTATGAAAATAAAACGTTAACCTTATGATTTTGCTAAATATTTCTGAACTAAAATATAAATGTTGAAGGAATCATCTAAAAATATATGTTTATTGAAAGTTAAAATACAAACTATTGAAGGAAATTGTTAATTTATCTAGAATTCTACCGTTTTTCAACGTTTAGTTGTGGATATGTAAATAAATTATTTATTTTTGTATTTAAATGTTAATCCTGGCATTAATAAATAATTGATATTAAAACCATGAAATTTATACTGAAATAAAATTTAAAACTAAAATGATACAGTATTTATTAGATAGGAGAGTAACTTCGTAAATGCACAAGGAAAAGAAGAGTTGAGTGCGCAATGAATTATTTTCTCGCTTGGCAACACCGCAGTTTCGAAAGTTCAATTTCGCATGGCGGACGTGCAAGTGAACTCTGTTATTTGTTGGTGATAATTTCATTTATTATCTCGTTGTGATTCCCTATGGAAAGACTAATTCTGATGCTTCTATTTCTTTGTGGTCGTGCTTTATTCATTCCTTAACATCAGATGATGCTAAAGTTTTATTTATAGTTGCATTTGTGTGAACTGCATAGTGTTTCTCAAAAATGGGAAAATGTGACGAAGCTAACGTCGAAGTTAGCATGGGGGACTCGGCGTCCCCTACTATGAAACCTGATAATTTCTCGTTCACCCCGCCTCCAGAGGCTCCGGTGTTTGAACCTACGCCAGAAGAATTCTTGGACCCCCTGGCATACATCAGCAAAATACGACCAATCGCTGAGAAGTCGGGCATTTGCAAGATAAAACCTCCAGCGGTGAGTAAATTTCTTTGTTTCGACGAGTAGGGAGTGTGTAAATAGGCATTTAAACAGCATTATTATCACTAAAACACGAATATTGAGTAGTTTTCTAACCATAAAACCACTCGCGAATTACGTGTGATGCAACCATATTACCTCGACTTATTATGCTGCTCGTTATCTAAATTTAATTTTTACCTTCTAATCCCGTGTATTACGTGTCAAGTGTCGTCTGAATTAGGTTTGCAGCTCAATATTTTGTTTATTTGGCCATAAATGCAGTTGCATATTGTGTTGTGAGAACTGGTTGCCATTTTGTGTCATGCCCTCCTGCCTACGATAGTTTAGATAAAAAAAGAACTATTGCGAGGTTTTGTCGTGACTAACTGTAATTTCCTCAGAACTTGTCAAATTTAGACAAAAATTTGACAATGAGAAGTGCTGTGGCAGGATTATTAGCATTTGAAATGGTGGCAAAGGCACTAAGAGAATGAATGTGCACTTTGCTATACAATATCCAACTAAATTATTGGTATGCAAGACCTACTTTCTGAATATTGCTCCGTAGATTTGCTTGAAACAGACACAGGGACAAGATTGCTTTGTCATCCACAAGTTTAAAATAAAAAAAGAGTTAAAATTGTAGTGTAGTCAGTAAAGACAATTAGGAGATAATTACCACAAAGTTGTGGGTTGCAGTTAAAATGTTTAGATGTTGCATAACATTTGTGATAAATCAATAATTTACAACTTTATCTTTAATATTTTGTATACATTTAGATAAAATGGCTAAATAAACCATGTGCAAAATTTTAAAACAATGTCTGTCATGCACTTCTTGGTTGCAATGCAATAATTTATATAATTATAATAATTATATATTTTTATTTGTTATAATCTAAGTACCTTCTCTATGAAATTGTTTGATGTAAAATGTTCAAAGTGTGGTCAGGACCATCTAGAAGCATTTTATCAGAAATACTATACTACAGATAAATCAGTGTATTATATTATTTGCTTCTTCACTGCCGTAATAATTTACTACTTGACAATAATTGAAGCTCTAGTGGTATATTTGATGATAGAAAGTATTTGCGTTTTCCTTCTAAAAATGAATTAATAAGACCTCTTTTACTGATGTGGGTGATAAAATAGAAATAAAAAAAAACTACATGAGCTTCCCATGTTTTTGAGTGCCAATTATTTTAAGAGCTTTCTACTATGTGTGCCAAAGTCTTCTAATTTAATAACTACTAGGCTGCTACACAAATTTTAACATCCGGAAGTAACATTCTTGATCATTTACCTGTTTAATTAAAGTTATAAGTATCTTAACCGTTGAATTTGTCCTAGGATAATATTATGAGTATGGTTTCAGGAAATTTATTTTAATTTTAAAAAAACAGTATCCTGTATATGATGCCAGATACAAAAGTGCCTCACTAAAAAGCCATGTGCTAATTTCTACAGTTTATAGTTAGTAAAAGTCTTCAGGTACCATTAAAAAATAACCCTGCCATCTTGGTACCTAGATCCATCTATCTATCTGTATCTAAGTCGTATGTGGTGTAAAATATAATTTCCTAAAAACATGGTCATTCTTCAGTTATTTCAAATGTGAGGATTTCCTCATAAACTACTTCCCTTAGTAAAAGTAATACAATGTGTTGCGAAACTGAAAAATATACATCAGTAGTAATAGACGATTAACCAAAATATGGTCTTTAATGCAAGAACTAGTGTTAAAAACTAACATGTAGGTAGGTACTTGAGTATTTCGAGTGCATGTTTTAAGAATACAAAAATATCCATCTTTTTGTTTTTATTGTTTAACAACAATAACTTGCAGAGGGATATTCCCATGTTGATATCAGTAACTTTAATACAAATAGTGAATTTAATGCCACTATCAAGTTTAAATTCTAGGTCATTAATCTGTCAAACACCAAGCGGTCACCGGTGACCGCGACCTATTGTTCTTTAATTGTGTCTATAAAACCGGTACTCGACGAGTTAATGTCAATTTCTGTGCTAATTTGTGTCTTGATTTTTGAGTGACATATTTATGTAGGCACAAAGTTTTGACACTAAATAATAAAGCTACTAAAAGCCTATTTTATTTTGTACTGTTATATTCGTAAAAATACACCACACTCTGTGTTTATTTACTTATTTTATTTTCTTTGTGAGTGATTCATCTTTCATTTTGCACTTAACCTAATTTTGATGTTTCCTTAAGAGGAGATTTCAGAAATGTAAAGTTTTACCAGTTTTGTTGAACCTACTTTGTAATGACCAGTGTAAGTGACCCAATAGCTGTAAAAAATAGTATGAAGGTTAAATATTTAATTGACCTACTAACTGAATTGTGGTCAGCCTGACAACTCCCTAACATATTTAGTTTATGTTGCACAAGTGATCATTAAATGAAGTTTCATTTAAAAAGGAATATGTCTGTTTTATTATGGTATCAATTTGTGAAAGTGCCACTGGATACAAATTACAATAAAATAAAAGAACATCAGTTGTTCTCTAAGTTACAGTTACTTTCATACAGATTTCAATGAAAATGAACTTTCTCATAACAATGCAACATTAATGTTCCTAGATAGTGAATCAGTAATAGTAACTAAAGTGCTTATAATGTTTATGATAGTATTTGCTCCTAGAAACTATAAAGTTCAAGTGGTTTTTTGTCATGTGTCAAAGCATAACACACACACATAACATAACATCACGCCTTTTTATCCCCGAAGGGGTAGGCAGAGGTGCACATTTCGGCACTTAATGCCACTGTACAATGTAACACCCACTTTTCACTATTTATGTTATGAGTCCCATGTAATAGGGGGTGAGCCTATTGCCATATACCGGGCACATTTTTCCAGACTCCGTGCTACTACTGAGATTTTTAAAAACCCAGTAATACTTTGCCCGACCCGGGAATCGAACCCGAGACCCCTTGCCCGGCAGTCGCACTTGCGACCACTCGGCCAATGAGGCAGTCAAAGCAATAGCTAAATATTTGATAGTAAGTAGCATAAAAGTGATCCCACTAGATTTGCTTAAAGATTAAAAGAACTATTATAGTTTAAAATAGTAGTATTGTAAATCAAAACTATCTTTATTTTAGTTTTATAAATATGTTGTATGTGTACATAATTTACAAAAAAATATCTTAGGTTTTGAGTGGAATGCACATTATGAAATAACATTCTGATCCTTTTAAAGTAATTATAATTAGTAATCATTCAATATTAAGAAGTAATTGCTTTGATTGTATGTCCATATCATCTGACTACTCCAATCCATTCCTAGACATTCTAAATAGTGACAGATTATATCATCAAGTCCTTGGTTCCATTTCAAAGAAGTGATATCATTGGCAAAGATAAAAGCCTACAAAATATCTAGTTTATTATAATTATACAATACAGATAATTTCAGAGTTATTTTCAAATGAATTAAAAAACAGAAACAATTTCTGTTTTTTAATTAAAAATAATGGTTAACTCAGATCAAATATTGCAAAAAGCGGTTTTCAAGTTACAAAGAAATTGTATCTCATATTTGGTGGTTTTTGTTTCGAATCCTTAATTTAGACTTACAATTTTCAGATTTCCTTGTACATATGTGTATGAAATTATCTTCACTTCAAGCCATGATTGTCCGACAGCAGGGTAAAGGCCTTCCTACCCTCCTTCCACTGCTTAAAAGCTTTACATGTGTTTTAAATGTTAAAATTAAATACTTGTTTGTTTACAGCACTGGCAGCCTCCCTTTGCAGTTGATGTGGACCGGTTACGGTTCACACCGAGGATACAAAGGCTCAATGAGTTGGAGGTAAGCAGTTATAATAGAATTTGTTAAACCTTTTCTCTTATTTATTCTTTACAAATACAAGATGTTTAAGTTGATAGTTATTTCTGACTTAAAAGCAAAACATGGTATGAGTAAAGAGATGTTTGAAAACAAAAGTGAATTCAAAGTACCCTTGTAAAGAGATTGATCAATGTAGATGAAGTGACAGAGGTAGCTATCATAGGTTCTGCTTACCTCAATGAAACAGGTGCGATGGTAGAAAATAAGTGTAAAGACACATTCAGCTTGTGTAAACTATGATTGTTTGCTTAACAAACTATCCATTATTGAGTACAGTTAGGAATCAATGTTGATCAATATTTATTAACTAGTTAAAATTTAAGTTTGTTGCCCTTGACCAGTGGAGTAACTTAACAAAAACCTTTATATTTTTCATAAAAGAGTTGTGTGTAAAGTACATGCTTGTTTATAATTGAAGGTAGGTTTATTTTAAAGCAAAAATAGACGATCGAACCGAACTGTAACCGTACCGTCAATTTGGTTCCGCGATCCAGTGGTATCCATGTAAATGTGCGACAGACTGCTGTACACACTATCCAATATGGTCCGGTGCAGACAAGTGATAATTCGGTTCGATCGTCTGTTTGTGCTTTTAGGATCAAGTTTTTTATACTGAGTAGATGGTGCATAGTTTCTATGTAGCCCATGGACTCTTCTAGGTTTTACGTAGAACAAAGGTGTGATGATGCATTTGATTATTGTTTTATTTTTTTCACAAATGTACACAAAAGATTTGATTATACTACAATTTATCAGATTTAAAATAAAGTAAATAATAGTATTTCAGTTTTCGTGATAAATATTTAATTATGTACTAACTAAGAAGCGTGTCTTAATTATGAACAGTAGTGCGTACGCGTTAGTAGTTGCAGTCAACCAGTGTTTAATTATCATGTGAGTGCCCTTGGAGTTAGCCGGCTAACTTAGTGCTAGCCGCTAGGAGTCTAGGACCCATTATAATTATTACTTTACTGCCTGCTTTTAAGGTTATTGTCATTAATACTTTAATAACTGGACAGTGCGAACTAAAGTGGTTACTTAATTCAAATAGATAATATCTATACTTAATTTTATCTATACTTTTTTTAAACTGAAGAGTTTGCTTCTTTGCTTAAACCCGCTTAATCTCCGAAACTACTAGTCCGATTTGAATAATTCTTATTCTCTTAGATAGTGTATTTATCGAGGATGGCTATAGGCTATAAAACATCACGCTACGACGAGTAGGAACCGAACAGCGGGTGAAAGCGCGCCGAACTAGCTAGTCTATTATAATTCATTTTAGTAATATTGATCTACTTTTTATTTTGCTTGTACAACTGTGTTTCATTATTATTTCACAAAAAAAACTAATTACTAATTATCTCCAATATGAGCTCTTTGGCCTTGACCTCTTTTACTATGTCGCGTACATTGGTTTCTCCTAAGTAAGTCATTAAAATTCTGAAGATTCGTTCAAATTTTTAGCCTCATTTGATAAGTGGTTTTAGTAAGTATGCTTACATCCCAGTATACACAGTGACAATAGGATAAAATAACAGATTTCTAATCCGTGGGACACTGTCACTGGACAGACACCCCTTCGTGTCTGTCCAGTGACATACAGGCGTAATAAACCTAGGCTAGCACCTCACAGGCGCGCTTAATTTCTCCTCTTTAACTTGGGAGTCCTAGGTGTAGTCTGGTAATATAGTTACTATTTTTGTTTTGGTGTCACGACACGATTGGTGATAATTAGGTTTTAAGTGCCTAGGTCTGAATCGTTGGCCGAGTATTCGCAAGTGCGACTGCCGGGTAAGGGATCTCGGGTTCGATTCCCGGGTCGGGCAAAGTATTACGGAGTTTGTGAAAAAATTGTCAGTAGTAGAACGGAGTCTGGAATTGTGCCCGGTATATAGCAATAGGCTTACATGGAACTTGACATAATTACGAATTTACTTTCCCTCAGGCGATTACCCGAGTGAAGTTAAACTTCCTCGACCAGATTATGAAGTTTTGGGAGCTGCAGGGCTCTGTGCTGAAGATCCCAACTGTTGAAAGGAAACCATTGGACCTCTACGCCCTTCACAAGATTGTCAAAGAAGCAGGTATGTTAATGTTTTACAATATAATTTGTACTTGTTGGTTTCATTTCACTACATTATTTATACTTGTGATGTTTATTCTAAAACTATTTAAGGTTATGGTTATTGATTGAAAACTATACAAATGTCAATGACATCGTGGTTTAACATTAAGTTTTGTATTAAAATTGATAATCCTGGGAAACTTGTTTGCCGTTATACTCGCTGCCTCTGATAAATTTATCAAATCTTGTTATAACTAGGTAATTTGCTTATGTAGAAGACTTAAAGTTTAGGATGCGTAGGCGTGATTCACGTAGTAATATAATTTTTAATTAAATACTTTAGCTCCATTCATTAGAGTTGAGATGTGACTCAGGAATGACAGGAATTGTTGAATGAACATAAAAAGCCTTGTTGTGCCCTGTGAGTAATTTTGTCACAGAGCATTTAAAAACCGAACTTCTGGTTTCTAATACTGACCAGTCTCTTTTATTGGACTGACTTAAACTGAGATATGCAAAGCAAAACAATGATTTTGTGGGCTCAGTGTAATGCAACACAAAATTATAATTATGGAGTTTACTACAAGATAGTTGAAGTAGATAAAATAAGGCTAATGGTAATAATTTTCTAGATTTTAAACTGTCAAACACCAAGTGGTCACCGGTGACCGCAACCTATTGTTCTTTAATTGTGTCTATAATGACGGTACTCAACGAGTTAAACTTAAATACCTTAATAGAGTTTCATGTCTCTATAGCACCAATTTATTTTCTTTAACATCTTTTCTTTTATTTGTGTTTGTCCTACAGGTGGTTTCGAAGTATGTTCAGCGGAGCGCAAGTGGTCGAAGGTGGCCCGTCGTATGGGCTTCCCCCAGGGCAAGGGCATCGGCTCTATCCTGAAGAGCCACTACGAGAAGATCCTCTACAGATATGATATCTTCAAAAACAATGGAGCGGTGGATAATAAAGATACTGTGAGTTTTTGCAATTATTGGCCCACTTTAATATGTATTAGCATTGTCAATTTTGAATAACTTAACTGCAATCTCCTCATACTTGTTTGCCAAATTGTGAAAAACCCCTTTCTTAACCCGGCGAGCATGAGGCGAAAAAAAGTTACTTCAAGAATGTGGCAGGGTGTGACATACCCTTATCTTAATGAACCGTAATATAGTTATTTTTATTATTATTTTTATTTTGTTGATTTTATTTTGTAAAATAATGAATTATTTAATGGAGTTAAATGAAAGAAGTTCTTTTTAAATAATAATGTTTTATTTATTCATATTTATTTTATACGATGTAATTTTAGGAACAAAGTAATAAGGTTTTACAAAAATTAAGAATTCAACAAAATTATTATTCTTTGGAATGGAAATCAACTTAAAACTAAAAGATAATGAGATCCGTAAAAAACTAATAAAGTATTTTTTTTATTGAAATAGGATTAATTAGCACTGTTGAGATCAGCACAATTTTCGCAAATATATTTTGCATGTTCCAAACATAAATATGGGCTTGCCACACGCATTGCAGGAATGTTTAGTTTTTCTGTCCTTCTAATATGGATAATCCGGGCATCTGACATATCGTCTGGGTGCAATTGTGAGGGTTCACCGAGCTGCAAGCTTGTTGAATCATCACCTTCTTGCTCCGTATCAGAATTCACTTCATGTTCACTACAATGATCAGAGTCTTGTTCTGAACTGGATTCTCCAGAAGAATCAGTTGCTGCCTCTTCCAACATAGCACGAATCTGTTCCTCTTGACTTTCAATATCCATTTTAGTCAAAAACTAAAAAAATAAAATAAAGGAAATGTTCAATAAATGAACGAATAACAAATTCATATAGTAAAATAATAAAGAAATAACAAAAATCTAAAAACAACAAACAAAAAGCAACAAAATCTGAAATTAATTGAAAAAAAAAACTAATAAAACAGTTAAAATTCATTCATAAATCATTACGTAAAATAAATATGTCAAAAATGAGGCAGGGTAAAACATACCCGAGACAAGTTTGTGCACGTATAACTTCGCCGATGCCTCGCGCCACACTGCAATCACGCCACTACCCGGTCCCGCACGCCCCTACCTTCAGCTACTGACCGATCTAGTGTCGCCAGACGAGGATTTTAAAATGTACAGCACTTTTAAATTTTAACAGGGTATGAGATACCCTGGATCATGCTCGCCGGATTAAGGGGTCCTTTTGTCTCTTATGTTTTGGTTGATATACATAGATATTTGTACAAATAACACCTTTTCAAGTTTCTTTTTTAAGCTATTTTCAGAGCTCCGTTAACAATATTTTTGTCTCCAGAAAATTGAAGTTAAAGGCGAACAAACGCCAGAGAAGGCGAGTGGCACGCGAAGTCGATCGACAAGTAAATGTACGGCGGCCGCAACACCGCCTCCGGCACGTCGGTTCAAACCGGACCCGGACGGACCGACCTCTACAGAAACCATACCGGCTGATAAAACCCCTCAACAAATGCAAGAGGAGGCAATGAAGACCCCAATCAAAGAGGAGAACCCCTCAGAAAATAGGCGAAGTGAGTCCTAAAGTGTAATTGAGTTGTAAATTATTTGTAGTAATAATTATACATACATTAGCTTATATGACTCTGGTAAATATACTATTGTAAGACACCGAAATCACACGAAATAAGTTGCGAGTAATGGCCATTCAGAATTACCCATATAAGAAAATATGTTTGAGATGTCGCATCCCATTTTAAAACAAAACTTTGTAACATACAACCGATAATTTTAACCCAAAACCTGTTACCGTATATTTCAATCTTAATTTCTTCTGCGCAGGTCCTCGTGAAAATAAATGGATGTCAGCAGCGGGTAGTTGCGGCGCCAGGTCCCGGGTGACCCGGTCGACCCGGTTGCGGGAGCATCGCATGTCCAACATGACCGTGTCTGTCACCCCCGCGCCACCTACCAGCCACGCACTACATCCTGACGACCCGGTAACATTATATTTGTATATTTTACTACTTCATGCTTATAGGTTTCCAAGAAAGTTCAAGAAATTGATGCTGGATTAACCAGGTTGTGTGATTTTTACTTTTAAAGCAAAGTCTTGCTCTGAGTCGATTCAAGATCTTTATGCGATAATTCCAATGATTTCCAATGATTATGATCTATTTTGGATTACAAATATGTCGTGTGTAGTTGTTTGTGTACAAGTTATGGACCAGACTGCTCGCAGAAAACATGTGAGTATTCATAAACTTTCATAATGCTCAAAAAGCAACTTAGCAGGAGTACATTATTTTAACTGTTTATTATGTTTATCTATCTTTAATCTAAATGGTAGTAGTGCATGATATTAATTATGATATAATATTGTATTTTATTAATTCATTTTGCATCCATTTCCTTAAATCTATTAGTAGCTTTATTCCAAAGAGTAAGAGTTGTCCAGTGTAGGTCGAAAAGTCATCGTTTAGGTAAATTATAAATTCATATTTCTGCACATTGGCCATCCCATCACTAAGTTTAAAAAACCGTATAAATTACGTAAGAAAACAATCATCATTCATTTATAAAACCTTCGTCTGATCACTAGACCTTATAACCTAACCAGTAGAGTTCAAAACCCGCATTCCCCATCACCGGTGACTATGGAACAAACGTAAAAGATAAAAAACAAAGAGTTTGTTTTTGCTCCAGCTGGCGAAGTACATGTGCCATGTGTGCGGGCGCGGTGATGTGGAGGAGCAGATGTTGCTCTGTGACGGTTGCGACGACTCTTACCATACCTTCTGCCTGCTCCCCCCGCTCGCAGACGTGCCTAAAGGAGACTGGCGATGCCCTGTATGCTTGGCTGAGGAGGTTCGTAGTACACACGCTGTAGATCTATTTAGCGCAACTACTCATAACTTTGCGCAAGTCTGTCACTTAGCGCAAGTGCTAGTAATTTAGCGCAAACTATATTTAGTTAGTATATATCTGGATTGGTGTTTATTAAATTAAATTATCAGATTTATATGTAGTTATTTTAAAGCTGCTTTAATATTAGTTACGCTGTCATTATAAAATGTTTGATAGCAATTACAAACATAGTAATACTCACATATTATTCATTATTTTGTTGTAATCAGCATATAAAATGCACCTCATTTATAAAAACTTCAACAATTATTATTTATTTCTAAAATGTTCTTGTCGTGATCAGGTGTCGAAGCCGACGGAAGCATTTGGTTTCGAACAAGCAACCCGGGAATATACTCTACAACAATTCGGAGAGATGGCGGATCAATTCAAATCTGATTACTTCAATATGCCTGTTCATGTAAGTATGATCATTGGTAATAATCTTGTAATTTGTAATATCTTCCGAAAGAGTAAGTTAACAATGTATGAATAAGAGTCCCATTGTGACTTGAAACTAGTAAAGCTTTTCTCAACCATTTACGAGAGTAAACCGTATTTTCAAATAATTTAGTATGCCTCAAGATAATTATAAAGCAAATATACTTAAATATCTTGGGAATAAACCCTTGACATGTTTTGAAATTACTTTTTTCCCTCCAGATGGTACCAACATCAACAGTGGAGAAAGAGTTTTGGCGCGTCGTCTCCTCGTTGGATGAAGATGTTACAGTGGAATATGGCGCCGACTTACATTCTATGGACCATGGTTCCGGTAAGTTTTTTGATATCTTTGAAAACCAATAATCTCGGGGCCACAGATAAAGTGAAAGTAATTACTCCAACTACTGCTCCGGCTCGAAGCAGAAGTTGGAACGGGAAGGTTTTAAAGTCAGTAGGACATTGCCACTCCCTCTCAACTTACGTAAGGTGGGAGAAGTCATTTGATGATTTTTTTATGTATTCATTACTTAGTTACAATATAACTGTAATGTTTGTCCAGGTTTCCCCACAAAGACGCACGCGCACCTATACCCTGGCGAGCAGCAGTATGCGGAGTCGAGCTGGAACCTGAACAACCTGCCCGTGCTAGAAGGCTCCGTACTAGGACATATCAACGCAGATATCTCTGGGATGAAGGTATGGACTTTACTTAGTCAAAATAAATTATTTCGAGATTTTTAATGCAATAAAATATTCAAAACTAATAGTTTTCATTAATTGTTAATTAATTTTCTACTTTTTCTGGGTAATTTAGAAACTATACGCGATGATTGTCTGAATTGGTTTTATGCTAAGAAGGTCACTCAAAATTAATGTCCAATGCCAGTTTTCCTAACTGTCATAACTTTTAAGGAACCCCTAAGGTAATGTAAGTGACACATAACGACATTTTAGTTTTCACCAACCTTTAAGTGACTCCTAAAATCCTAACAGAACAAGGGATTAATTTAGGTGTTCCCTCACGCTAAGTAACTCTCAGTTAAAAGATGGTTAAGGGGTGGTTAGTGAAAATTGCCATAAGACATTGTAAGACTATTTATTAATTGTATATTGTTTATATTCTCAGATCCCTTGGTTATACGTGGGTATGTGCTTCGCAACCTTCTGTTGGCATAACGAGGACCACTGGAGCTACTCCATCAACTACTTACATTGGGGAGAACCTAAAACTTGGTAAGTTGAAGTTTTAATTAACACACCTCAACACAGGAACATTATCTTTAAATTCATGAAGATGTAAAGAAAAATATAATATTATTTTTAACTTTTGTACAATTTATAGCACAATCATTTCATCAGTTGTTATAAATCACATACAAAACGAAGCAAGCCAATTGCTATAATTTCAAATTTAAGCTTCACTCTATTACTACTAAAACGATTGAGAATCAAAAAATCTAATCGTTCTTTTCTTTTTGACTTGTTTATGAAAACTTGTCTAACGACAGGCTTTTTTCGTTATTTTTTATGTGACTTCTCATGCCCTTTTTACACTATTTTCATTCTTGTCCAGGTACGGAGTACCAAGTTCAAAAGCAGAACAGTTCGAAGCCGCCATGAAGGCAGAGGCTCCCGAGCTCTTTCAGCTGCAACCAGATCTGCTGCATCAACTGGTTACCATCATGAACCCTAACATTTTGATGAAGGCTGGAGTTCCAGTGTATAGGTAAATATTACACTTACATAATAGTTACAATAGTAAGCGCAAACTTTGCGCAAGTAGGCAATTTTATTTGCATACTTGCGCTAAATGTTTTGCGCAAGTCATATTTTTACCTTTATTTTAAGTGTAGCTTTGTTATAAGCAAAACTATTTTTTATACTTGGCCACCATTCCGTCTGGTGGTATTATACTATAGTAGTAAAAAATATGGTTGTATGTTTATAGAATGGACCAACACGCCGGTGAATTCGTGATTACGTTCCCTCGCGCGTACCACGCCGGTTTTAATCAAGGATACAACTTCGCTGAGGCTGTCAATTTCACACCTGCCGACTGGGTAAGATATTAAAAAAATATGAGTACTGTAAAACGTCTTTTACATCTACCAGTGTTTGCTTTAAAATAAAGAAAAATAAAGTTTGCCATCCTGCTATTAGTAGAAATTACTCTTCTATCAGACATCATCGTATCTCGAATTCCTTTTTTATAAAGTTATCCACATAATTTATCCAGGTTTTCTTAAATTTTTCTCTTTTTCCATACCTACTCATTTAAATTCGCAACACGGACAATATAATAATAATATTTTTTTCTCTAGCTAAAAATGGGCCGCGAATGCATAGCCCACTACTCAACACTGCGGCGTAACTGCGTGTTCTCCCACGACGAGCTAGTGTGCAAGATGGCGCTGGAGGCAGACTCCCTCAGCCTCACCGTGGCACTGGCTGCCTACAGGGACATGCGGACCATGCTGCATGATGAGAGGAAACTCCGGAAGGGACTGCTCGACTGGGTGAGTTTACCTTACAATTTTTATTTTCTATATTTCAGTCTGCATAAGGTTTTTCTTATTGGTATTCAGCTAAAATCTAGCTTCAGTTTCTTCTATAAGTTCATTATGGACAGGCGTGTCCTATTATTGGCCGTGTCGTCGTTTATCACTAGGTGGAATAGCAACCAAACACTGACTTCTTGCAAATGTAAAAATAAATACAACATCGGTTTCTCAGAGACGACTATGTGTTGTTTGTAACCTTCATTATAATATTATTTTTAATCAGGTTAACATTTCTGTAACCAAAACTATTTGTTTCTCACAACTTGTTTGGGAGAAGAATACATAATTATCAGGCCGTTTGGTGGAGATTCTAATATCATACTTTTTTTCTATGAAACACCGAACTTACGTGTTCTCCCGCGACGTTATAAATATAGCTTTATTATACCCTACATCTCACCGCAGGGCGTGACGGAGGCGGAGCGCGAGGCGTTCGAGCTGCTGTCGGACGACGAGCGGCAGTGCTCGCTGTGCAAGACGACGTGCTTCCTGTCGTGCGTGGCGTGCGCCTGCACGCGCGCCGTGGCCTGTCTGCGCCACTACCGCGCGCTCTGTGTCTGCGCGCCGCACGCGCACAAGCTGCGGTACTGCCTCAATTGTATTTCATTTAAATTAAGTGTAAGACGCATGCCAGAACGCGTCATTTGGCGTTCCATTGTCTTTGCCTGCCCTGATGGGAGATAGACCCTAAATATATTATTCTATGGCTTTTACACCTAATTATAAGCATAAAACTAGAAAATCTAAATCTCCACTCAAATTCAATTCTAAATACATTAAGACATGTGACTTCTTGAACTGTTTGAGTGTCCTCGACTACTTTCAACGCATGACCAGAGCTCAAAATCATGAACAGTTAAGAATCCCTACCAAGCTATATATTCTAATTAATTCAATCCGTTTATCGTTACTTATCATAAAAAACTAAACCAGTAATCTTTCACACACCACCACTAAACATAGCCCTTTCCAAACATCTCTTAATACTTAAAACCTACCCATCCACTTCCAGATACCGTTACACCCTTGATGAGTTACCAGCGATGTTGGAGAAGTTGAAAAAGAAATCTGAACAGTTCCGCGAGTGGGCCGAGGCTGTACAGAACGCTTTGGACCCAGACACACCCAAGACTTGTGACCTCGATGGGTTGAGGGCACATCTCAAGAGGGCTCATGATCTCAAGGTAAAAAAAACACCAATATTTTTCTTGTGAATTTATCACTATCATTAGCATTTGGAAGTTATCCATTGCTCAATAAAGCTCTCCTTGTCACAGGGATTTTTTATCTCTTATAAGAATAAAAAAGTTACCTTAATTTGTTATTGTATCGACAGATGCACAAAACAGAGCTAGTCCGAGCTCTAGAAACGGCAATAGAAGACGCGGAGAAATGCGCGTCAGTGATCCAACAACTGGACCTCAACAAGATGCGCACGCGCACGCGCCACCACGACCCCAAGTACCGCCTCACCATACACGAGCTCACACTCTTCGCCGCCGAGATCGATGGACTCGCCTGCGTGTTGCCGGAAGGTATGGTTTTCATTGAGATATAAAAAAAGTAATCTATATTTTTTGTTACTTGATTTTTATACATAAAACAGAAAATAAGTCTTAAAATCAATGAAACATGTCATTTGAAATAAAAAGTAAAAGTCAATGAAGAATGATTTGTGAATATTTAAATGATTGGGAATCACTGATATCTTTGTATTTATTTTTAAAGGTTAATTTATTTTGCAAATATGTTTTAAAATAGTACTTTAACACATCAAATAAAAAAATCTAGATGGCGCCCACATTTCCTAACTGACTACTTTTAGAAGACTTGCTGAAACGAACTCAGCGGTCTTCAAATAAAATTTATTTTAGTAAACACAAATTTTGTATGTTTTTCATATAAAAATTAAACTGTATTTGTTCCTTTCATCAGGCTCAGCAGTAAAAGAAGTGCTACGACAGACATCGGAGTTCGAGACCCGTGCCACTGAGCTCCTCAATAAGGATCTGGAGAAAACTGATCAAGCATATGTCAGAGAATTGGAAGAGGTGAGTTTTCTTTCCATTTTATTTGACATCATCATAGACCAAAAATACTTTTTGGTCTGTTGCTGGACATAAGCATTTCCAATAATGAATTATGTTCTTTAGCTCTTAGCATCCAATCATCGCCAGGTTCTTTGCGGATAAATCATTTCACCTAGTTACTAGAAGGTCCTATATCTGCAACCAGTCGCCAATTTCATTTAAAAGTATTTTTGGGGATTAAACGCCTTCTTTAAAATAGAGGGACTTTCTTTAGCTATAGACATCTTCTGACTTACGATAGGTTGTCGACGAACTTATTAAAAAAGGTTTAATTTGTAGTTGATAAAAATGTTTAATCATAATAACTTAATTCGACAATTCATTTCATTAATATAGATTTGTTCTTGTTCATACTAAAAAACCTTTAAAAATATTCATTTCTAAATTCAACATTCCAGACATCGGAGCTAGGTTCCCGCCTATGCATAGTCCTCCCCGCCCTGCCAGCGCTGGTGTCCCGGCTGGCGCAGGCTCGGTTCCTAGAGTCAGTGCGCGCGTACAGGGAGGACTGCTCCACCCTGACTCCGGAGCTTATACAGAGGCTGCTGCAGCAGGCTGACACCGTACTGCCACATCATAGGATCGAGACAGAGAGAGCTCAACTACATAGTCTTAAAGGTATGTTGTTTGTTAACAGGACTATCATCTAAACATAGAACCTCCTCCTTCTTTTTTTGTTCTCTATCTCTACGTCGTCTGTCTACTACAATTTAGATTTTAAAATAAAAAATCTCTAAACTTTTCTTATTTTATTTTATTCAAGCTGGCACTTTAATTTTTTCTCTTTTTATGTGACCACGAACTTCCTTTTATCGTCCTCTTTGAGTAATAAACCTGCTCCTAAGTGTAACAAACACTTCTGAAAATCTGAGCCCATCGTAAAATAATAGCCGGCAAACATAGATACATATGAAAAATAACTAATCAGATTAAATGTATATGGATGAAATCCTGTCCAGATTTCAATTAATCACTTTCTTTGTCATTCAAGTTTTATCCAATAATGTTCATATGAAACAATAATTTAATTTCTTCCTTCGCAGCTCAAGTAGATGAATGGGAGAACCGTGCCCGTGCCGTGTTAGTAGACACAACAAAGAACCCTCCGTCGGACATAGACCCGCAGTACACGACGCTGGCGGAGCTGGAGGCGCTGCTGGCGGACGGGGAGGAGATCGAGGCTGCCTTGCCTTCCTACCATGCGCTGCAGACTGCCGTGTCACATGCCAGGGACTGGCTGAGTAAGGTGGGTTGATTCTGGATGTCAATTCAATTTTTGATGTTTAAAAATGTGAGGTATTCAATGGCTTGCAGGCTATGCTACTTTAGTTTTTTCTTTGAGTCTAAAAATTAAAAGGGGTTGTTCATATTTCTTGTAATCTTATAATTTCATATTGAAAACTTATTCTCGTAACTGTTCGACGAGTTAAGTCAACTTGTTTCAATTGACGTCTGGGGCCCACAGTCATAATTGGCATTGCGCGACAATCGACACTTACCGCGTCATTTACCGCCAAAAAACTATCCTTGTCCACTTGTTAGATTTTGGATTGAGATAGGTTAATAATTTCCTTCCTTTGACATATTCAAACATTGACATGTTTTTCTTCTTTTTCTAACATAATATACGCTATTATATCCAGGTGGAGGAGATGCAGTCGAAGGAACTGTACCCGTACATGCACAGCGTGGAGAACGTGGTTCGACGCGGGGCCAGTATACCGTTACAGCTCTACGAGAAGGACCAGCTCGCACAGGCGCTGCAGTCTGCCAGGAGTTGGAAGCGGGGAGCTGCTGACATGTTTCTCAAGAAGGTACGTAAATATATTTCTGCTGTTAGGCTGCTGAGCCAAGTCTCATATGGTGAAAGTTTGAACATTAAATCACCACACTTGATCAAGGCGAATCCTAATATGAATTTATCTCCTTTCAGAACTGGCCCTACTCTCTACTAGAAGCACTGTCTCCCCGCGTAGAAGTAGGCGAGACAGTAAGCAAGCGGCGCGCACGCGCAGGTGCAGCGGGCGCGGCCGGGGGGGAGCCCGCGTCCTCGCTGGAGGCGGGGCTGTTCCTCAGGAACTTCAGTGAGGACTCCACCCCCACTGATATTGTCGCTGCCTTTAAACACGCTGAACAGAGAGAACTGCAAGCTATTAAAGACCTAAGGTACCGTATTTTATAGTTATGTATGATGTTTATTGACAATTTTAAGATGTAGCTAAAACACTGATAAATCACTTCAGCATTAGATACTGGCTTGAAGGAAAAAAAATTACGATATAGTTTCATGTGCTAATGTTATAGTTTAATATTATGATGAGTGACATTTGAAATAACTGTATGATGCATATTCCAGAGCCCGCAACATGCGCAAAGAAGTCCGTGCCCCAGTATCCGCAGGGGTGACTTTCTGTACATGCCAGAAGCGACAGTATGGCGTCATGACGCAGTGCGAACTGTGCAAGGATTGGTTCCACGGTAAGGCACCTACATTTAATTTTTTATTATTTATTTTATAAACAAATGTATTTATTCGACTACGGTCGCGGTCGCCAAAAACATAAAACAGCAAGTTTGAATCCCTTGTCTAGCAAAGTGTTATGCATTCTAGTATGATGGATAAAAGTAGGATTTATTTTTTATAATGCAACTTCTATTTACGCATTTTTCATGACAATTTAATGCATTTTTATCATCCTAAACTAATTTGTCATTTCCATCTCCAGCCTCGTGCATAGCCGCGAACAAGGAAGAACGTGAAGAGTCTCCCGAGCGCGTGGAGTCCAGCTTCCCAACAACTGAGCCCAAGTTCCTGTGTTCCGACTGTGTGAGGACGAAGAGGCCGCGACTTGACCGTATACTGGCGTTACTGGTGAGTGTCGTAATTGTTTTTATATTTTGAAGGTGCCTTGTTTTCTCGGCTTTGACTTAAAATTAAATGTAAATTTTGAGTGACGGGTAGCATCGTCCTCTAAATTTTTGGTGATGTTGCAGTTGCCAATCGTGTGTGGGGAATATAGCATAAACTTCTTTATTTTTGTGTCAAATTGTTGGGCATTTTCATTCAACAGTAATTGTATATTTTGCCTGATGATGATCAATGGAGGAAATTTTTTGATATGAATTAATTAATTTATTTACTTACTAGTCTGATATTTAAAAATAGAAGCTAAACAATGCGAAAATGGGTGGAATATCCATCTTAAAATCGTGTTTTTGAGTAGTATGTGGTGTGTTTATTGCGGTGCAGTGGTAACAGCGTGTTGTGTTGCAGGTGTGGCTGCAGAAGCTGCCGGTGCGGCTGGCGGAGGGCGAGGCGCTGCAGTGCGTGACGGAGCGCGCCATGGCGTGGCAGGACGCGGCGCGCGCGCTGCTGGCCAGCCCCGGCCTGGCGCGCGACGCGCCGCCCGCGCCCGCCGCGCCCGACGCCCTCGCCGCCGACCTCAAGAAGGCCACCGCCCGCGCGCACCTCCACCACAATGCCAGGTCACTTACTGTGCAATTCTTACTAAATTAAAACTTACTAAGTCACTTGTGCTAACAGCATGCTTATTTATCCAACGTGTTTAAAACATGTACATAATCATCTCTAATGGTAATTTAACAATAAATATTGTTATCTCGACAGATCCTCAGCGAGCGTAGAACATGCATACAGTGCGACACCGAGATCTCCCAGCGCACGCGCCGCACCTGGCCTGTTGCAAAAATTGGAAGATTTGATGCTCGAAGGAGACTTATTAGAGGTAATAATTATTTTGAACTTATTTATAATATGGAACTCAGTACGAAACTGAATGTATACATATCTGAAAGTTATTGAAGTCTGTATTCCGTTTTGGATGTCTTGTGGCTGATATAATAATGATTTAAATACTAATACTTTATTTGACTTCGTTGCTCCATGTAACATGCAGTAATGCTTATACCTATAAGCCTTTTTCATGACTGGAAACTATACTTGGATGGAAGTAAAGAAGCGGTAGCACTAGTGTTTTTCTTTTTTATTTCTTGATAAACATATTCGAATACAAATATTTTATGAATTGGTAATGTATCCCGCGTAAAAGGTAAAGGTTAGTGGCTCTGTTTGCTCCTAAGTTCGTCTTGTTTGCTATACAAGATTGTCCTAGTGTAGGCATCAAAGTATTTGAGATGAATTGTATGTAATTAAGATGTATTTTTAAATTTTTATAATTATTTACAATTATAGTCGAGTTCGTCGTCAGATATAATGTGACACAATGTGTGTGCAGGTGCGGCTGGAGGAGCAGGCGGCGGTGTGGGGCGCCGTGGTGTGGTGGCGCGGGGCGGCCGGCGCGCGCGCCGCCAGGCACGACGCGGGGCGGCGCAAGCGGCACACGCGCGCGCCGCGGCACCACCACCCCATGAAGCGCACGCGCACGAGGCACCACCACGGTACGGACGGGACACTTGCCGACAAACTCATACACACGTTTGTGACTAGTATAATGCGTGGCAACGAACAATTAAACCTCGAATAACATTCTTATGTCGAAATACTCAAACACTACTCAATTTTAAGTATAATTCTGTCACTACTAATCTGTGTAAAATGACAAATAACGCGATATTTAATACAAATTAAAATTGAATAGCCTTTCACATTCGAGCGATAGCTACACAGTTTAACTACAACAAAACATAAGCAATGAATCTACTTAACCATGCAACCTTGAAAAATCACTCCCACATGAACATACTTGCTTACTTCATAACCATACCAGAAACTAAATTACATAAACACTAATCAAGCTAATAGAAAAATCAACATATCAACAAAAATTAACATATCAGCGAATATTAACTTTTAATCATAACTATAACTAAGGTATATCAAAATAATACAAGCAAATTTCGCTTCTTTACAGTTGCACCTGCAGCAAAACCTACTCTCAAACGAGGCACAGCTACCACTACGAATTATCTCAATAGGAAACAGGTAAGAACATCATAACATAGCTAAAGAATATTACAACAAGCTAAACTTTAGAATAAGTTTATTGCAATACAGAGAATCAATCGAGGCTCTATCGTTATACAGAAATTCTAAAATTATAAATGTTTTACACAACACTTTAATACAAAATCATTTTACTCAGCATGACAGTTACAATCGCTTCACCAGCGTAGTCAATTGTTTGTAATATAGATATATAAAGTATTATAAAAACCGCTATACTTTAGAAATATTGACTGAGGTCATCAAACTGTTTAAATTTTCTTTTATAACATTTTCACACAAATACTTAAATTGTTTATTTCTTGCAGGGCATGTCGTCAGGTTCCAGTCTGATGATGCGCAAGCACTACATGGCGCGCCAGGAGCGTCGCAAGCGGGGACTCGCGCCCCCTACCAGGGGGAAGCATGTGCGACAGACTAGAATGGGTGAGTGACTCATATTTATCACTGTTATGGAATTATGAATGTAATTTTATATGATTTATCATGTTTCTTTATGTTCATAAGTAATTACTAAGGTCACACAATAATAACTAATTTATCGCAAGGCCCGTAAATAAAACTAAGCCTATAATAATATTTTCATTGTAAAATCCAATTTAAGGCCCCAGTCTCAAACAAGGCAATGATTTTAAAACAAACAGGTTTAGAAAATGGAAATCTTGGGATGGACGTGGTTACAATTTTAGCACCACTTGTATGGAGCTTTATTTTTGTTTATGGCATAAGCCGGTAAACGAGCGTACGGATCACCTGATGGTAAGCAACCGGCGTCGCCTATGGATACCTGGAACACCAGAGGCGTTACCGGCTTTTTGGGGATTAAGAGTTTGAGGATCGTTGGGGATTCAGAGATTAAAGAGATTGGGGAAGTGGAGGGTAATTGGGCCTCCGGTAACCTCACTCACACGACGAAACACAACGCAAGCGTTGCTTCACGTCGGTTTTCTTGTGTGGCCGTGGTATCACTCCGGTCGAGCCGGCCCATTCGTGCCGAAGCATGGTTCTCCCACACTTATAACAAAATGGTATCACTAATAAGCCTATTTACCGGAAGATAGGTAATATAAACTGATTAATAGTATAGTACCCATGTATCTAACATTTTGTTTCGTATATTCCCAGGCCAACGTGCCGCAGCGTCAGGTTCAGGCACAGGTCGCGGCGGCGGCGCGTCCACTGCACGACGGAGTAGTTCGTCCTCCGCCTCCTCCGTAGAGGACGACGAGGACTGCGCTGCGCAGAACTGTCTTCGACCTACTGGTCAGTATTACATCATCATGATCATCAGTACTATACACTGCTTTTTAAGAATATAAGGCGAAAACAAACAGAAGAAAAGCAACACCAGAGGACTATAAGTGCATTACTGGAGTAGAGTTTATGGGATAAGGGTATCACCTGATAGTACCCAATGTAACACCAGAGATGTTATAAAATGGGGATATTAAGTCTCTGGTGACCTTACTCACACAGTGAAACGCAATGCAAGTGGTTTCACATTGGTTTTCTGTGAAGCCGTGGCCATGTGTGGCTCCCTTGGGCCTGATAATGTTCGCGATTAAGTTAACCTTCCCGAGTCTAGTTCTCTGTGTCTAATAGCATAATATGTCGTCCCCAGGCAAGGAGGTGGACTGGGTGCAGTGCGACGGGGGCTGCGACCAGTGGTTCCACATGCACTGCGTGGGGCTGTCCCGCGCGGCACTGCGGGAGGACGACGACTATGTCTGCGGCACGTGCGCGCAGCAACGACACTAGTGCCGCGGGCATCTCGCACCCACCCACGGTGGCCTTGCACCAGCCTTCTACTAGTGATACGGTTTGCAGTTTTGTTATCTAGTTTACTGTCACTCTTATAAAAACTGGTTCAAGTTTAACTCGGATTTAATATTTATTGTATTGCTGACTTTGACGCAGTTGTTGCAATATAAACGTTAGATGCAGTTTTATAATGCTGTTCAAAATGTATAGAAAGTAATATAAAATTGTAACTTTACTATATACAAACATGTCCACAACAAATAAAATATGACGTTAATTATATTTCTATGAAATATCAAACACTGGAATTGCCACACATACTTGGTTTGAACATTTTGGGCTAAACAAGGAGTTTTGGGCGAACATTTATCTACTTAAAATTAAATACAAGTCATGTTCACGACAAATGACTATTTAGTTATTTAAAAACACAAGTACTCCACTTAAATATTGAATGAGATAATTTCAATCAAATTAAAGTATTATAATAATCATTAATATAATGGAACAAAGTAAAATATACCTTATTCAATTCAATATTAAGATCATGTTCGCTCAACTCCTCCCATTTCACTGAAGGGTAGAGAGACAAATGTAGAAGCAATATCGAGATAGCATGTGATTAGAGAAACAAAACCAAATTGAAGCTTATTGCAAAGCCATACAATTGATTTCACAATGGACATGTTCCCGTGATGAAATGATACAGATCAAATAAATTGATGACTGAGCGAGACAGAATGATTCAGATTATATTATAAAAAAAGAGAGGGAACATTAATTGCAAAATGTAGTAGAATAATTAAACATTTTTAAAATTATTATCTCAATGTGATTCAATGGATTTTTAGATCAAATTAAAGAGTCTAATTTGTTATGACACAAAATAAAATCAAGTTTCAACTTTATGGTTAAAAATATTACGTTCAATTTTGACATCTAATGTCTGAAACCTAAAGTTGATAATCCAATAACGTGTCATAACAAACAAACTCCATATAGTAGCAATCGTTCAACGTTTTAATAGAAAATATTCAAATAAAATTACTGTTATCAAGTGTTTTTGCCATAGCGGGACTATAGTCCTAATGCATGTTTAGATCATCGTTAGTAGGATCCCCGAACCCAGTTTTTGGAGGTTATAACTTACTGTAGAGGTGTTCAAAGGAATATCTCCAAATCCCCAATCTTTAAATCCTCCCAAAAGGCCGGCATTTCTAGTGTTTCGAATGTCCATGATGGCGCTGATCGCTTACCATCAGGTGAATGGTGATCTGTCTGCTTGCTTGCTGCCTTATGCCATGAAAACAAAATGGTAGGTGGACCGATGACACCATCAGTGTTGTGGGTAATTGGTTGATCATGACCTCAATTAAATTTATTGTCATTATCATCTCAGATATCCTAGGACTATTTACTTTACGCGGAGAGAACAAATTTCGATTTATGTACTGGATGATCTCTTATCTTGATAATGAATCATATGGTTAATTGCAGGAATTACTTAATATTTTTTTTAAATCATGTGTCCAATTAGTTGAATAATATCGAAACATACAAATATTACATTTTCCTCTATTAGACACAAATTTGTTCAAGTTATCCCCGGATTTACCTCTACAGTAATTTATATCAGCCACATGTCCATAATAGATGTTCATGTTTAAACCAATGTTATTGTTAAAATATTAGCAAAATATACACGTCTCTCTCTCTCTTTGCCTCTCTTTCTCTCACAAAAGTTGGTATCTTCAGAGTGCGACGAGTGGGATAAGTAGAGTTAATATTTTTATTAAAGAAAAATAAAACTGACAAATAATTAAGGTATCGGGACTGGGAAATTATGTAATTTATGTATAATATATTATGTATAATTGGTAATGAAGGACTAGTGTATGTATTGTGGACCTGCGCATGCGCAGCCGCTTGTAAAGTAGTAAGTTTTGTATTGTCTAGTCCTTAGTGTCGTTTGGTATAACACTTATAAGGGAAACACTGTATTTTTATATAACGGCAACATTAAAATGTTTTAAAAATGCCAAAATGTAATTTACTTCTAAGTATGGTATGAAAAAGTTAAGGAAAATTGATTGTACTATCAATGGTTGTGCCCATAAGTTTTATACCAAACAGATTCCTACGTCACAGTAACAAATATATTTATATTTGAAACATTTTCCAGTCCTGTCAATGTTAATATTGAATGTAGCCAAATATTTGAGATTTATTTTTACTAATTTTGTACTTTATTTACTTGTTATACGGTTGGAAATTAGTAAATATTATTTCTTTTTTTTTATATATAAAAATTAGCGATTAGTTGTGCCTTTAGTGTAATAATTGTAGTAGGTATTTAGAATTTTGTATTTTTGAAGTTGTATTAAAAGTTTGTTCAGTTTGGCCACATTCATGTTAATGTTGGGCGACCGACGCGATGACAAGGTCTTCGGACAGACGAGAAACGTTTTTGTAAATATTTTTTAAAAAAACTTAGCGAGAAAATTAAAAAGTTTTTAATGTAATGGAATTTTTGCAAGAAACTGATAGCGTAAGTAGTAGATACATATGTGTGCGAGGTGTGTCTGTGTGGAGTGTGAGGCACTCATTGTCTATTTACTTTCAATTACTAAAACTTAACTGAGTAACGAGTAGTGCCGACTACCGATCTATTTCTATGAAACCTGTACAGACATCATCATATACTAAAGAATTTAAATTAAAATATGACCGAGCTCATAGATGAACACTTTTCTATAACATTTACACTGTTACACGACATTATTAAGTTTATGTAAAGTAATCGTGGTTATTGTTCTATATATATGTTATATCTATTAACATATTTCTTCTGTGTAAAATACACACGACACGAGACAGGAAACAAAGCGACGAGTTCATTATACGCGATATACCATACATATATACAGTATATATATGTTGATATGATAAGACGGCGAAGCAACATGTACCATACATTCTCCCTGTAAGCTTGAGTTCCAAGACCAATAAGTAAACGACGTGTATCTGCTTTATATTGGTCGGAAGCGTTTATTGTATTGTAAATAATGTTTAAATGTAGTTCGATGTATGTATATGTATTGTTAGAATAATGTTGTAAGAGCTTGATACCTTTGTAAGTGAATATTAAAGAAAAGCACCCATCTGACAGAAGTACGCAAGTATAGTCTGTCAGGCGCGTCCTTTACAACATATTTTTACAGATATTAAAATGTCTTTGAAAATTTTGAAGTATTTTATGTATTTTTGACTGAATTAGTATCTGTTTTAATATGTTACTGTCGAAAATATTTATGCACTGGCCTTTCTTTTGTGAATCAATGTTTATATAATAGTTTATAATAAGACGATTAAATAAAGCTAATACCTTACCAGATTTTCTTTTCTATTCCAATTATTAAAGTTAGTTTTTATTGATTTTAACTTCCTTTAATGTTAACTTTCCAGGATTTTTAGACAACTAATAATAAACTTGTATGGAACAAAATTTTTGAGCACTATATAAATTGCACAAAGTTATAATATGTTAGTCACAAATACAGAACATAATATATAAAACTATATATATTATTACCGTCTTCCAAGTTTATGTTTTACGAAACTATGCAATAACCAAAACATTATAAGAGGTACAAAATCTACACTTTTCCTATATGGTGATGTTACTATATTTGTTTTATGTCGAAAATATCGAAGAACACATTAAAATATTGCCATTTTTTACTAACAACAATGATTAGACGGAGACAGGAATGTAACCCATATCATAAAACGTCTGTTAAAATTTTAGACTGCTGCCGTTCTTCTGTCTCATTCTAATCATACTTTATAGAACAAGATAGCAATAGCTGAAATATTATACTGCACAACGGAAAACTCGTCTGAAAGACTTTCTATTTGAAAGATTTGTCTATCACACTAGGCTTGGTAAGGTTAAATTGATTCAATTAGTTACGCCATTGTATTTACAATGAAAATATTAACTATTTTAAATTATTTGATATTTCTTACGCTTACTGTACAACAACTCTACACTGCGATACAATATATATATATATATATATATATATATATAAAACTTAATATAAATCTTAATATATAAAAACGACAGTGCAATAGTACTACTTAAACCGTTTTATTGGTTAATTATGTAACTATACAAATTTTTTCTTAATATATAATAATCAAAATGTAGAGTTGTATATACAATATACCGCTAAATGACAAATGATAAGCCAATATGAACTCTATCGCTTGTAGACAAGTTCTATATTTGTTACGACGGCACTGTCGTCAGCCATTTAGCGCTAAGTCTCAAACTGTTTTTACTGTTTAGATTTTTGCGATTGTTTTAATAAATAAGTGTTTTTGGTTTGACAGTAAAATAAGTTCTAAAGTAATGGTAGTAAAGTTTAATTTAACTAATTTAGTTTAACATTGCATGTTATAAACGATTTGTAGTGTTCCTCTACTTAGTAGAATTAACTCGAAATTATTTTAAATCAAAGTGTATAATTTATTTGGTATATAATTTATTTTTATTGAACTTATACTTAATTTGAATCTAGGATTCACACTTAAGTCCTTATAACCTGGATTTATAGTTACTAGTCCGATTTCCAGATGCTTTTTTTAACAAATATAATGTCAAACCAAGTGCACCCAACGCATGGCTAAAACACAAAATTGTTGATCTCTGGCAGCCCTCGTCTGACCTAATGTTTAATATTTGTATGTATGTATGTACGCTCGATACCTGCGCACACGCCGGTTGACGAATAATAGTCCCCCACAATACTTGTAGGACGTTACTATATATTTTAATAAAAAATAAAATATTTATATTATATATAATTACTATTTTTGATAATTATGATAAATGTAGCGAAAATATATGTAGTTCCTATGAGTATTTTTTCCTAATTATGCATTTTAAATGAACAATTGAACACTGGATATTGAATTTGGCACGTTTTCTGAAGTCTTTGTTTAATGTATTGTGCCAAATATGTAATTTTGCAGTTTTGACATTTATTTATAGTACAACAGTCAGTACCACGGCTGCTATTCGTCTGCCCTCGGTCTGTGCGCGTATAATTGTACAGTATATATAGTTAAGTGCAGTCGTATGTTTGTCCAACAATACCGGAGCACTGTATCTGTACTATACCCGTGTTGTAAAGTCTTCAATAGATTGTTTAAATGTTTGTAAATGAATGGATGTCGTCCCGTATCGTTGGACAGATTGACATTATTGTGTACCAAATAAATATAGAAAATTATAGAAAAATAATGCTTGGCTTTTTATTTCATGTTTACAGATACTAACACATTTTTTCATATTCTTATCAAAGCTACTAAGGCTAGGATATAATGAGCATATAAAGCGTGTGGCCTATTTGCGCTGAAAAATTTGTGATTTTTTATGTAATTGATGGGCCGACGCGACACGTTTGACCACTTTTTTTATGGCATAAGCCGGTAAACGAGCAGACGGATCACCTGATGGTAAGCAATCGGCGTCACCCATGGACATCTGGAACACCAGAGGCGTTACAAGTGCGTTACCAGCCTTTTGGGGATTAGGAGTTTGAGGAGATTGGGGAAGGGGAGGGTAATTGGGCCTCCAGTAACCTCACTCACCGACCAAACACAACGCAAGCGTTGCTGCACGTCGGTTTTCCGTGAAAACCACTATCTCTACCTCATTGTTTTTATGTTTTCCTATCTTTATTTGTTTGTATAGTTTACTTATTCTCGAGTCCATAGGTACCTATATAAAAAAAAAAATACCCTTCCCACAGCCGGGTTAAAAAACCTTGTTAGACTCACAGGTCATTTTCCATAATTTTTCACACACTCTGTTTATGCCACATTTTTTGTTTGAAAGTAATAATTGTCATTGTTTTCATTAAATTTTGGTGAATATGAACATGGATAATATGATTATTATATTCATTGTGTGGTCTTTTTTTAAATCGTTGCCCCCACACTAAGATTTTCTCCTATATCGGAGTGCGTTTACAAATATACAAGTGCACATACACAAGACACCTCGAAACAACAATTTTTGGATCACAAAGAGTTGAAGCAGGAATCGAAGCCGCTACATGTTTCGCGAGCCGGTTGCCCTGCCACCCCACCAACCATGAAGTCATACGTCATACCGTGCAGTCCAAGTGTTGACGTAATCTCTAGTTCTTTAAAATCTAGATTTTATTAAAAGAAAAGCTCTAGATATAAATCCAAACAAACTAATATCAACATAGGTTTCTTTAAATACTTACTTTACAGGGAAAAACATAAATATGTATCTGTTCAAACAAATTGTATCAAAGATAGGGATCTATTTTGAAAACAAGTAAAGTACACACTTACAGATGTCTATAGATTGCGAATAACTTATCTGATAGATACTAGTCGCTGTTATCTGATAGTCCTTCTTTTGGTATTGTTGATATTGGTTATAATATGCTAAATAAATAGGTAAATGGTCACGTGGATGTTTAAACTAGTACATAGATTTTATGTACAGATTATTACCTATCAAGGTATATTTTTTTAATGTTTACTATTAATTCTCCACGGACTCTTGGTCCATGCCGTTGTCATACATTTCGTAGTACATTTACAAACTCCAAGTTAGTTGTGGAGCAGTTTGTTACCAAACCACTTTTTATAGGATATTCTGTACCAAAAACACAAGAGTTTAAAAACAAAAAAATACTAATCTGTGTTTATAAAACTATCGTGAGACATACTAAATTAACTAAAAATCGCGGGTTACTCACGTGAATATAGGTACTGAGAGAAGCTCTACTAGTTTCCGTTCGTCGCGACCGCGCACGCTGCTTATGGGGAAGAATCTCTCTGTGGTTCGAAACTAGTAGGGCTTTTCTCAGTATATTCACGTGAGTAACCCACGATTTTTAGTTAAAATACTAATCTAACCAAACTTCAGAAAATAGGTATCTAAGTAATTGTTTTAAAAACCTTTCTAGCTTCTACAATATTAGGTTTTTATACTTACACTGAAAACGTGCATCTACATATAAACAATGTAAATAACTTCTTATTTACATTATCAAGTGTTCAGTCCACAAGTGGTCCTTCGCCGTGACCTTGTTGTTATTGTTCACCACTCAAAATATAAGTTGCAACAATAATAACTTTATCATTATTAATAAGAGCTTCAGTTGCTCTTACCTGAACAATATCCGTGATATTGGCACTTTAGACTCAACAGGACGCATGTACCACAGGTACTTTTATACATGCTAGCATGCTCCAATTGAGTACTTATCACTTAGTAGCATGTGTGTCGGAATGGTGCTCATAGCATGCTTATTTCAAACATGTTTGCGAATCGATAGGTGTTCGATTTTTGAACATACTCAATGGAACGCCTTTTATCATGCTAAGATGAGTACCTAACACAGTATGTTTAGTAAAGTGCATTTTTTTTAAGGGTGGAAAATCATCGAACGACTGCTCTCGCCTGGGTGAGGCGGGAGGGAGTGTCAGACTCTTACTGACTAAAAACCACCCCGTTCCTTCTCCTGCACGTCGAGCCGGAGCCCCGGTTACCCGTTAGGTTCTCCGCGACTAGCAATGTGCATACACAATTTATAAGGATTATAATGGTATTCACAACTATTTATTACCGTAGAGAATCGTAGGTATCTTTTTTAATATTTGATGGGTCGACGTTTGACCACTATCTCGCCTGGTGGTATGCGATGATAAACACAATAATACCTATGTACCTACCTCATGCTTTTAATGTGTTGTCCTATGCAATATTAAATAAATAAAATTTCTATTTGTTATTACACACTGTTTCATTATATCATTATTACTTTTCCTGCCCCAGGTCCACAGAAAGAAATTCGAATAGGAATAGGTGGTACCTTAATTTTATATATTTGTTGTCTTTTATGTTGTATGTTTGTACATAGATAAATAAATAATAATAACCTACTTTACCTAATTAAAAATATTGCATACTTGACTTACACTTGCATTATGTAGGCAGATAGGAATTTGATAATTTGTATCACGCTACAATATTATGAACAAAATATAATTGATTGCAGTTAACTAAAGTCTTTCCTCAGGGATAATCACCGAATGACTTGCAATGATTCATCAATATTAACTGTTGTGCAAATAAAAATCCAGCAATCGTTTAAAGTCTTATATTGTCAACCATGACGCATGTACACCACACAGCAGCGTGCACAACCATACGTAGAATATTTATCACAATAATAAAAATTGTTCTATTGCAGATAACTTATCTCTATAATATCACTCCAAATCTTTACAAAAGCGTAAAACAATTGACGATTATCTGGAAAGTACTAGCTAATGTAAGATCGGAGTGCTGAGCCTCCGAGCCGACATGTTCCTCTTGTACGTGAGCACAGGGCAGGACTGGAACACCATCCTCTCTTCTATCTCCCGAGGAGCCAGCGGCCTGCCTCGGAACTCATCCTCAATCTGTTGCAACGTCTTCCCCTTAGTTTCAGGCAGGTATATTGAGATCACCAGTAAACAGTATGTGAGAAGACCCGCGTATATGCAGTATGTACCGTGTATGCCAACACTCTCTACTAATCCTAAGAAAGTTTTTAACACTAAGAAGAAGGAAGCCGACATTGTAGCTAAGCTAATACTTCCTCCAATACTTCTGTACTCCAGTGGGAATACTTCTCCACCGATCACGTTCGGTAACGGCAGCATACCAGTGGCGACGGTGAAGAACTGCAGGTTGATCAGCAGCGCTGGAATCCACACTGCATCGTATGTCAGTAGGCCTTCCTGCTTCAAATAAGTATAGGAAGCTATTGCGAGCTGACTGAGGACACACAGTCCACCGGTAAGGAACATCATGGTTCGTCTTTTTATTTTATTAATGAGAAATACTGCTATAGTATTGGAGATGAATCTCTGCGTGTCTAGAAAAATCATCCAGAAGTGGGGATTAACGTTAGGTCCCATGATCAGAGTAATGATAGTGGTGGAATAAGCCGCCATGGTGGTGCCTCCAGCAAACTGCACCATCACGTATGCGTGAATCATAATTATTATAGGTTTGTAGAACTCTCTTTTCTGGATTGTGGCCATTGCGGTTTTCATGCGGTTTGGTTTCCTGCCAAGTTTCTGTTCTTGTTTTGCCTTCTCGAACACCATCCTGGCGTGTATCATTTCTTCTAACTCTGCGTTTTCTTCTTCGCCTCGTAACCAATGGAAGACTTCACGACACTCGTCGTATCTTCCCCTGGCGACGAGCCAGCTGGGTGACTCGGGGGAGTATATGGTCATGATGAGACTGAAGAATGAAAAGAACACGCAGACGAGAGCAGTCTGCTGCCAGCTGAGGATGGATCCTAACACGTGCACGAAGAGTATACCGAAGGCTTGTGTTAAGGAGACGGTGGTGAGGAAGGCTCCCCTGTTCTTTGGACTGGCGTACTCCCCGATGAGGATCGATCGCAGAGGGGAGAGCATGCCGATAGAGAGGCCTTGGAGTATTCTTCCGATAAGTAAGGGCTGGAAAGAAAATTATGCAGCTATTGAGATTTTCGGTATCAATGTTAATTAATGACTATTGTAATTGTTTGGACTCATGCTCACCTCGTAGCTAGTAGCCATCATTGTGATAAACCAGCCGATGAGGACTGGCATGGTGACGGCCAAGTGAGCGATCCTTCTGCCAAACCGCTCCATTATAGGTGGCGTGATGAAACTACCGAGCAACTGGGTAACTCCTAGTACCGATGCTGTAAAAGAGGAGAATATTGTAGACTGGAGGTCTCATTAAAAGTATTTTTGTCATTTTTTGTTGATTTTGAAGGTAAAATTGTTTATTTTGTTAGTCGTGTTAAAAGGCTATCTTAGATTATTTAGAAATCAGGTAAGTACTTTGATCGATTCAATCTTGACTCTTTCAAAGTCTAGACTCAAATCTTTGAAGGACAAGTTACATCTAGAACGAAATAGTTCCTACTTGATTGAAGTTTAAACTCACCTAGCCATGATGCCGCAGTCTTGCTCATCGGTATCTGTGAGTTGGGCACCAGCAGCTGTGGCAGCAGGATGGCGGGGTAGCCGATCACGCAGCCGTGCCCGATGATGTTGCTGCCTACTGCTGCCGTCACGAAACACTGGAAGAAATGAGAATTTTGTTAGGAACATTTTTTCATCACCATCATCTTCTAGCTAGAAGATGTCTACTAGTAAACAAAGGCTCTTTCATTTTTATCTTTCTTTTAATAACAAAAATGCTTATCCACGGATATCGCAAAAAGTACCTACTTAGGGTGTGTTCCCTTAGATAACTATCAAGGAGGAGTAATTATTGTTAAAGAAACTATGATATTTAAATGTCTATTGTCATTGTGTGTTCACATGTATTTCATTCATAAAAAGGTTTATAAAAAAATCAACACTATAATTGTACTTAAACACAAAGAGATCAATTAAATTAATTTTGAATGAATGCACAATGTTATGAAATTAGGATAGTCCATTTTCATTTGTGAAAGTAATAATACCTAGATATCTGAAAAATATTTTTTTATTTACTTACCTGTTTCAGGAACGGTGACATTCTGTCCTTTCCCATTTTCTAAGATCACAAACACATTACAGTTTACACATTTAAAGAAATAACTTAAAAATATTTCTAGTTTCACTATTTAATATCACAAAATGTAAATATCAGTTCATTTTTGTTGCTATTTTGTTACAATTAGCGCGCAGACCCTGTATTATCCGATAGCTAGTTCCATATTTATGACAATGACAATAAAATGTGAAATAAAGTGTGTTTATCATTTTAACTGCACTCAATGGATTATATGGAAATATCGATATCTAAGGGCAGATCCGCACTGTCACTCCTTCGCGGTCAAACTGTTCAAAAAATAAAGAAATTGTTATTATATATTTAGGATTATGATAACGGTTTCTTTAAATTATGATATTTAACACTAATTATGATAAACACTTATATATAGTTACGTCGTGTTGCCGAGTTGCCATACTCATAAATTACTTATACCTAATATTTGAGCGCGTGCCAAGATGCCTTATGGACTAATAGCTAGATATATTTTTTGTTCTACACTTTAATTAGTTTTAGTCTAGGTAAGACAAAAAGTCTCACTTGGAAACAACACTATCTAATCGTTTGTTTTGTGATTCATTACTTCGGTAAATAATTAATTTAATCAATCAAAACATGTGTCAGTTATATCTTAATTTGCGTTTGATCTAACGAAACGATCAATTGAATAGATCCTGTATTATGATACATTCTGATATGGGGGGGAAATTGTTTTTGCACAAATTACTGATTGGAATGTTAATAAAATTCCTTCCTACTCTAATTTCTTCTTTCTTTCTGTTCAAGCCTGAATAAATGAGTACAATAAAATTTAGGGCCGGGTTTTAGATTGTCCATTTTAAACGTGGCTAACCGTTCTTTGGCACGTATGGCCCGGTTTGGCAGGAGTTAGTCAGAAAAACAGCGCTTGCATCGCGTTTTCTTCTATGAGTTAGGTTACCGAAGGCTCGCTCTTCCCCCAAATGGCCGGCAAAGCACTTGTAAGTCTCCTGGTGTTAGGGTTGTCCATGGGCGGTGCGGGTTGCTTACCAGTGCGGGTTGCTTACCATCAGGTGATTTGTCTGCTCGTTTGCCATATCCGAATAAAAAAGTTTAAAGCTGTCTTTCCATCCACCCGCTGTTGTATCCCCAGCCTTAGTTTGGCGATATCTTTTACAACAGCGGCAATACTTACCGATACAATTGTCGTTTATCTGGCAGATATCGTAAATGATGCGTTGTGGTCCACGCGCCGCTTGGGTGCTGTGCCTGTGTCTCCTGACGTCATTGCGATACACTTTACTTTTTAAAAGTAGGTAATCCTTCAATCTTCATGTCCAAATTGTAATCAGACACCTCTATTTATATCACTCTCTACCGGTAGCTACCAGTTGTAAAAAAAAAACATTTTGTGCATTATCTGCACATGCGAGTAGGCGGAAATTTGGCGTGATTTGTATTTTTGTAATTTGGTTATACCTAAGTAGATATAACCAATATTCTAAGGTTCGAAATATTCAAAAGCTTCTTTAGCTAGTTCCATGTTCTTTCATCTTTCATTAAGCTGATCCATCGAAATTGCCGTTTTCCAAAATCTCTGAAATCCATTTATTTTTTATTGGATTATATTTTTCATCATCATTTACATGTCAACATGTACAAATTAACGTTGTTTTAATGAAAACATGTACCTACATAATTATAATATTATTTTCATTGAAAGCGATTTAGGAATTTAAATCCACCGATCCTCGACCGGTAATATCTTAATTCAACTGTTCATTGTATAACAGCTATAAAATGTTTATTATTTTAATCTTCTCGTCCGGCTGTACGTACCTAAGCACATAATAAAAGTGTCCGTTGCATATTTACAACTTTGTCTTACAGTTTTATTGTGAATCTTTATTGCACTTCACATCTTTATCTAAGTAGTTCATGGATACCTCACGTAAATATAAAAAAATAAAATGTATTTTTTGCTGTTTTTTAATGTTGGTGTATTGTATTTAGAACTTTGATGGGTGGCCCATACTTTTGCTACTCGCTGCTTGAGGTGACTATCAAGTTTAAGGTTTATCTGGGGTAGACAGTGGTTGGCTATTATAGTCTGAAACACTAGAGCGTGAGTTTACTAATCTTGCAGCAAATCTTCCAATTTATTTTTAACATAAGTCTAACGCTATCGCCATTTGGAAACAATTTAAAGTCTATAAAGTCTTCATGTTTCGGAAAGCAAGAAAAGCCATTATTGCTCAAATAACTATTTAGGTATTACATCACATCGCCTCCCATTCGCTTTAACTTGAGGTGATAACACAATCGAAAAAAAAACGTATATTTTCCTCTTTATTTAAAAACTTGATATCTAAAAATGACCAGAATATCATAATCTCGAGACAGGCTTAAAATGTTTTCAGTCTACAAAACCCGTCTGCCCTTTAACTGAGAATGTCAAAGAGTATCTCCATGTTGTGACCGATAAACTAAACACAAACAAAACAATCGATTTCTAGGATATACGAGATTATGTAGAGGTAGGACAGTCACATTGGTTATCTGACTGCTAAATCACTTTTATCTTTAGTTTGTACGTACACAACTAGGTTTTAAGTCATAAAAATAGACGAAGATAAGTTTTAAGTCGTTGAATTCCAAATACGTTATTAGTAGACTATAAAATTATTTTATCACGATATGAAAAACTATTGTACCATGTTTTAAAATCAATGAATTTCTCAATTGTTTGTCTGGAATTATACCGGTCTGGTGTACAGTAAACAGCTTTACCATTACATTAAATGAATTCTCAGGCCTTCGGATTAAGATCAACTAATCATTTCTATACATAGAATATTCTATACATAGTTGCATTAAAACCAAATAATTAGCTCATCCTTAAATACTTTATTACCTACATTTAGACACATTTCTTAAAATAAATTAAATTAAGTTTTGGTTCCTGTAGACACAACCTTTCCATTCTCCCCATTACTCTTTAATGACCTCATTTCTTCCTCAACCACGACTCCTCCTCTGTACCCATCTTCAATCTCCTGCAGAGTCCTCCCTTTAGTTTCTGGCATCAAAAACATTATCACAAAGAGACAGTAAGTCAGCAACCCAGCATACACCAAGTAGGTGCCCGTTATTCCAATACTATCTACAAGGCCTGGGAAGGTTTTGAGCACTAAAAACATAGTGCCAGCTACAGAGGCTTGGCTTATACTCCCAGCTAGGCTTCTGTACTCCAGAGGAAACACCTCCCCAGCTATCACGCTAGGCAGAGGCACCATACCTAAAGAAACTGAGAAGAACTGAATATTGAGCAGTATACCCGGGATCCAAATAGCCTCAGAGCTTAAAACGTCCTGGTCTTTCAAATATACATAAGCAACTATCGCCAAATGGCTCGCTACACAAAGTATCCCTGTTGAACACATCATAGCTCTTCTCTTGAACCAATTTATAATAAAAATAGCTAATGTATTTACAATGACTCTTTGGCTATCCAGGCCTATCATCCAAGCACTAGAGTTGACCCCAGGGTGCATCACCAGCTCGATGACAGTAGTGCCGTATGCAGCAATGGTAGCTGCTCCCGATAGCTGTCCCATGGCGTACACGTGGACCATCAGTATGATTGGTTTGTAAAACTCTTGCTTCTGAACAGTCTTTATAATATCTAATTTCTTTTGATTCCTCATGGTCTTTTCGAAGTTGACCCTCGCTTCAATCATTGCTTCTAATTCTGTTTCTTCTTCATCACCTCTAAGCCAATGAAATACTCCTCTGCACTCATTGTATCTTCCCTTAGAGACTAACCAGCTTGGAGACTCAGGAGTGAAAAGTGTCATGATGAGGCTGACAAAGGGGAGAAAAAGACACACCAGAGCAGTTCGTCTCCAACTGAGGAGTGAACCAACAAGGTGCACGAAGAATATACCGCACCCCTGGGTAAGAGATATAGTGGTGAGGAAGGCACCTCTGTTTTTCGGGCTGGTGTACTCGCCGATAAGGATAGATCGAAGTGGCAGCATCATGCCAAATGATAACCCGCCAATGATTCTTCCAATAAGGATCACCTGCAATTTAATGATTATTGTAATTTTACTAGCCATCATACATCCACCTCTACACCTTGACTCGAAACTCTGCCTTACCTCGACACTATCAGCCAGGATGGTAGTCAACCAGCCTACCAGTGCTGTCACACTGATCGTATAGTGTGCCACCTTCCGCCCATACCGGCCCATTATAGGAGAAGCTAGAAAGCTGCCTATCAGCAGGGTTATACCGATTACCGATGCTGGAACATGCAAGAACATCTGCGTGAGTATAGATGCTCATAGAAATTATCATAATGCATTCCACTTTCTAGAATATTGAGGAAGTTGATGGTAATCTTTAGAAGCAAAATTATAACAATCAATTATTTTTGTACTTCAATCCTTTCATACTTTATCCAATGATAAAGAACAACAATTAACATAAGCTAAAACAATTAAGTGATTTCAGAAAATTATCCCTTAAAGTCCTTGCTCCAATAATCGCCACCAATCAGTCTGCTCGACCTGTGTGGTGATTAGGCTTTAATTGCTGTAATTAATCTTATCACTTGAGCTGATAACGTGCGGATGTGAATTATGTATAAGCCTCGATTAGCTTTTTGGCAGGTGTCATGTAAACATGACCACTTAGCCTAAGGGGTAATAAACATCTGGAAGATAGTGCCCATGATACCTATTTCCAGATTGTGAACACTGTATTTATGGTGATAGGCCTTCCATAAGACGCTTAACACAACTAAGGAGAGGTAGTGGTTTAATGTTTGTGTATCTGTTTATCCATTGACTTTACTTAAGTATTATGAAAACGTATGAAGCTCAAGATTTTCGCGAGTCGGATTCGAATCCTCACGACCTTGTATTTGAAAAGCACGTGACTGTGAAAATGAAATAAAGTCAAAGTCATGCATGTTGTGATCATTTTGTGTTCAAACCTTACCAATCCAAGAGTTAGCAGTTTTACTGGTATGTATGTCGGAGTGAGGGTCGGACAGCTGCGGCAGCAGGACTGCAGCGAAGCCCACCACAGCCCCATGCCCGATCAGGTTGATGCCCACTGCTGATGTCACGAAACACTGCAACAGCAATGATTGTCCAGGATTATTAAGTCTTTGGCTTGAGTTGAATCTCAAGTTAGGCGAGATTTCCAATGGGAATCTCATAAAATTTTCTGAAGTCAAAAAGGTGGTGATGGTCTGCAATTGGTTAATGTATGGTGTATTATAGGTACTATCATCTGTTTATAGTACCTATTTAAATACTTAAAATAATCCATCTTATGTACCATGACTCTTTAAAAAAATCTCCTTTCATGTCCAGAAGAGAAACTGATCAGATAACTCCACCCAGCAACAAAAATGGGCAGTCCTGACTACAACCACCGCCCTCCACCGCTACTGTTGCTATTTATCAAATGACACGTCTTCACGTCATGATATTACCGTTCGATAAAATCAAAAACGATAATACGTGGCACACTGCCAAACTGTGATAATTTCCTTATCTAAATTACTTGTTGGTATTATTATATTAAGCCACATTACGCTGGCAATAAAGTACAAAAAGGAATATACTATAAGAAACGGCCTAAAGTCATAATTCTGTATGAGTACTAACCTGTTTCAAAAATGGTGAAAATCTGGTCCTTTTCCTCGACATTTTCACGTGACAAAGAGAGTACCTACTCTCTTGTAACACACTCGAGCTATCTCAATACAAAATATTTGCAATTATCTGATCCATATTTCATATCAGTCATGATAAAAATTAAGACCAACGCACGCTTCTATTGAATGCAAACACAAACTGAAAACAAAACGTGTTTTAGGTGTGAACAAGTGTCCTAACAATTAGAAGTTACTATATACAGATTGTGATATAACACCTATTCTTGTACAGTACCTAAATACATCAAGTTATCCCGAACTGTCTTTATAGCAAATGTATAGGGCTAAAAATATCTTGATTTTTCTGACGTCGACGACACAGACAACGAATTCTGATTTTACAGCGACGTATGAGCACCGCGTGCATCAGTACTACTTTAGCGCCACACCATAATCTAGCCATAAACAGTTTACGAAGTATGAGTGAATATAGTGTTAGCCAAACTAAACCATTTTTTATAATCCTTTTTTAATAAGTAATTCACTATGTTGACATCATCATCAGCTGAAATACGTTCAACTCATGATTGATGTGCCTGTTTATGTATGGAAAATGATAGCGCACCTTGCACACACAGACCTCGATTTCTGGTTTAATATTTATCGATACCTCACCTTCGAGAGCACTTTAAATATAAAGGCAGACGAGCAAGATTTGCGTTTAATTTTGGTTTGAGCAAACATTGAGCTACCATTTTGACGTTTGATGTCAATGTCGGCACTGTTTTAATGTCTGTCGAAAACTAGTTGACCCAGCGAACTTCGTACCGCCTTATAATTATCTAATGTGTCAACGTACATTATTAAAGGCTGATTTTTCAATCATTACTTTTTTTTATTAAGAAAACCTTGCCCCACTCTAGGATTATCTCCTGTGTCGTGGGTGCGTTTACAAACATACAAGTTCACATACATATGACACCCAGACCCGAAACAACAACTTGTGGATCACACAAAGTGTTGTTCCGTGCGGGAATCGAACACGCGACACGTTGCACGGCAGCCGGGTACCCAGCCACCGCACCAACCGTGCAGTCTTAACTGTAGATTTACTGTAGTGTAGATTTACAACTTAATTCTTAACTGTAGATTAAAATTGACTTTTGGCAGTTTTTAGTATAGAATTAATTGTCAAATATTCAAAGTTATTCCTCAGATAGAACTTATCTGGCGTTGGAACAATCGTTAATAAAATATTTCATTTCTTGTTGTAAAACAAGAAAACATTAAAATCTTTCCTAGCCACCTCGGTTCTGTAATTCTCATTTTTCTAATCAAATCAAACTAAACTTATGTAGTAAATCTTGATCATGTTTATTGTTAAAGGATAAGCTGGTAAACGAGCCGACAGATCCCCTGATGGTAAGCAATCAGCGTCGCTCATAGACACCTGTAACACCAGAAGCGTTACAAGTGTATTAGGAATTTGACGATTGTTGGGGATTCAAGGATTGAGGAGATTGGGGAAGGGGAGGGGTAATTGGGTCTCCGGTAACCTCACTCACACGACGAAACGCAACACCAGCGTTGTTTCATGTCAGTTTTCTGTGAGGCTGTTGTACACACAGAAATATTAAAAATAATACATCTGTGGTTGTACCACTACGGTCGAGTCGGCCCATTCCTGCCAAAGCATGTCTCTCCCACACTTGAATTTAACTTTATGTTCTAACTTTGTCTACAGTTCAAAAATCTTATTAACACAATAATCTACTCAATATAATAACCTGCTTAATGTAGGAGCAATAAAACCATTGATACTAACAATATCACATTTATTATCATCGACAATTATAAAAGTATTCACTTACCTACAAGTAGATAATTATTGAGCTACCTCTTATTGCAATTGCATACTTTGTGTATTTAATTTAATACCTATGGCTTATTCGATAAATAAGTACTACACATTAATTAATGTATTAACAAATCTCATTCCTATTCACAAGGTGGAAAATCTATTTTAAGTTGTTTTTTTTTGTTTCTGAGTCCAATTTGTTTCAAAATCCGTTCATCAGCTGTCAGCTTTGGCTTTCTCAACATCTGGTTTATCCCTGAGTTGCTGTCTGACTTCCACTTCCTCGGGACTCGAAGTCTTTCCTTTGAAGTGGTCTTCAATCTGCTGCAGGGTCTTCCCCTTGGTCTCGGGCAGTAAAGACCAGACCACACACAGGTTGTATGACATGGCTGCTGCATACACCGCGTAGGATCCATGGAGACCTATACTCTCCACCATGGCAGGGAAGGTCTTTGTGACAAGGAAGTACCCACAGGCAATGGACACAATACTGATGCTACCTCCTACACTCCTGTACTCCAGAGGGAATATCTCCCCCGCAATGACGTAAGGTAAGCACACCATGCCGACAGCTACAGTGAAGAACTGTATGTTGATCAGCAGAATTGGCACCCATATAGCTGTGTACGTTAACACTCCAAGGATTTTGGCGTAAACATAGCCAGCAATGGCTATATTACTGAGGATGCAGAGCCCTCCAGTCGCCATGAACATAGTCCTTCGCTTTATCTTATTAACCACGTATACTGCTATGATGTTCGATATGTTTCGCTGTGTGTCCAGTTCTATCATCCATAAGTGAGCGTCTGCATCAGGACCAGCTATTAAAGAGATCACTGTCGTGGAGTAACACGACATGAGAGCTCCACCAGAGAATTCTCCCATCAAGTAACTATGGATCATTATCACAATAGGTTTGTAGAACTCCTTCTTCTTCATCAGCACCATGAGATCTCTACAGTTGGTTATGGCGGCTCTGTTAGATTCACATCTCGCTCTGATCATTTCTTCAAGTTCAGCTTCTTCTTCGTCACCTCGGAGCCAGCGGAAGACTCTTCTGCAGTCGTCGAATCTTCCTCTTGCAGCTAGCCAGCTGGGAGATTCAGGGGTAAAGAATGTCATGAGTAAACTGGCAAGAGGAAACACGATGACAATGAGGATAGTTTTCTGCCATGTCACTAGGGATCCTATGAGGTGAACCAGCAGGATCCCGAAAGCTTGTGCTACAGAGACAGTGGTGAGGAATGCTCCTCTGTTCTTCGGGCTTGTGTATTCTCCAAGGAGGGCTGAACGCAGAGGCAACATCAGCCCGAATGACATGCCGTGGATTACCCTTCCTACTATCATTGCCTGAAAATAAGCACATAATTATGTATTTAGTTATAGTGTCCAAACAAGGAGACCAATAAATTTTCTTCTATCTAGATATACTTTATACTCACTTCTAAACTTGTAGCCAGCAGTATAACTATCCAGCCTAGGAGTATGAGGGCTATGACCACAAAATGTGCGATCTTGCGGCCCAGCCGGCCCATGATGGGCGGCGCTAGGAAGCTGCCCAACAGCAGCGTGATAGCAGTCACTGATGCTGGAATGTAAAACGAAGATATTAGAACAATTGTGTTCAAGTGAGTTCTACGTCAGTTTATATTTTTTTTTATGGAATAGGATGCAAACGAGCAGACGGACCCCCTGATGATAAGCTATTAACGCCGCCCATGGACACCCTTAATTCCAAAGGAGTCAAAGGTGCGTTGCCGGCCTTTTAAAAAAGAAAACGCTATTTTCTTGAATTGTTTAATTGGACTGACCAAGTACCTAGTGGTAGATTTCGATTGGACAATAAATGTCGCTTGTAGGTACTTCGTAAACGACGAGTTATTTTGGTAATTTATCGCACTTGCTCTAGTCGTTCTAATATAATATTCTATCTTGAGTGGTACCTACAGTATTAAGACTTATAATTAGGCACGGTAGGTCGCCACAGTCCAAAAGGAGGCTGCTGAGCGGGATCCTGAGAGGGCCGATCCCACACGTCGAAGGCGTCGAGGAAATAACCGCCGCGGCGCCTAATATGTCGATTTCCTGCCTACAATATTGGTAGGCAAACCTTTGGGGTCATGGGCGCACAGAGTGGGGAATCTAGGCGCCCACCTAATGACCTCAAGGATGACGGCGGCACAGTGGTCACGTGCCGCCGTGCAGTGCACAGAGAGGCTCTAGGAGAGACATATAGGTCTCCATAGGGAGGTGCCGTCACAGGCGTTGCACTATGAGGGCACCGGAGTTGGTCTACTAAGAGGACCCGGTGCCCCCTTCAAGTGCGGATGGTGGCCACCGGGGAGGTTTTAGTGAGGTAAAAATCCCACACTCCCTAGTCTTTTTCCCCAAAAAGCTAGGCGCCTTTGGAAGGTTTCTCCCAGTTAACAAAAAAAAAAAAAAAGGTCGCCACCGTGTTAATTTGCATTCTGGTCATTCGTTATCTGTACTCTAAATCTATTTCTTTAAATATGCAACTCTTCAAATCCAAGAATTAATATTATTACAAAAAAAAAACCGGTTTATTCCACTTTGTTCACCTGGGTGATTTCACCTAGGTGAACAAAGTAGACTTTTTGGAGTCCTCAATTCACCTGGGAATTATTTCACCCAGGTGATATCACCTAGGTGAATTGAGTTAACTCAAGTAGTCTCCTTTGTTCACTTGTCAATTTAATTCACCCAGGTGCACAAAGGCGACTTTTTACTTTTACGTTGTGGACTTATATCACCTACCTACCTTACATCAAGTTAAATAAAAACTTTCAATTTAACATACATTTTAATATGTTCAAATATCAGATTAATGTTGGTCTATTACACATGCAAAAATATATCTCAATTTCTAACACTACGCTAGGAGGTGATGTCACCTGGGTGAAATAATTCCCAGGTGAATTGAGGACTCCAAAAAGTCTACTTTGTTCACCTAGGTGAAATCACCCAGGTGAACAAAGTGGAATAAACCAAAAAACCGGTAAAAATGCGTAGTTAGGGCGAGATCACAACACTGCATCGAGGCACCTCATCACAAAATGAAGCATTAAACAGTATCTAATAATTGATTTCTGATTCAAACCGGCCTATCTGAGGAAACATTAGGGGAGGCCTATGTTCAGCACTGGACGTCTTCTAGCTGATATTATGGTGATGATGAATATATCATATTTTTTTTGTCTTTTGTAGATTTTTGTAGTGTGACAACGATTTAAAAATCGTGTTTTTAAGCTAAGTCTTATTTTAATCTAACGGCACCGTAAAATCTGGTAGGTATAGTTAGACGTAGACTTTAATATTTTTACGCATTCGTTTGCCTGATGCCTATCATATCTTTATGCGATTATAAAGAAATTGATTTGAAATAGGACTGCCTCGTTGGCCGAGTGGTCGCAAGTGCGACTGCCGGGCAAGGGGTCTCGGGTTCGATTCCCGGGTCGGGCAAAGTATTACTGGGTTTTTAAAAAAATCTGCCCAATATAATGGCAATAGGCGTGAGTCTTATAAGTAGGTAAGCATAATATAAATAGAGATAAGTGGGTGTTACAGTTACAGTAGCATTAAGTGCCGTAATGTAGGTACACCTCTGTCTACCCCTACGGGGATAAAATTATGTTATGCATTTGAAATAATTTAAAACCTTCGTTGATACGATAAAGAAAAATATTTTAACAAATCTGAAGACTGTTGATTGTGCTATTTACGGACTCAGAGATACCTATCGCAAATTCGAAACTAATACATGGGTACTAGTAAAAACGATTGCCTATAGTCGTTTTATATTTAAAAAATATTAACCATTTTATTTAGTGCCTCTAATCGATTTATTGTATGTGGATCTCACAGAAATGTTAAGTTTATTTCTATGGAGGACCTTATCTAATCCGATCACACATCTCTAGTTAAACTCAAGTCAAACAACAAAACAAAAGAAAAAATAGTATACATAGTTAATAAGGGCAAACAGGTAAATGTTAGATATTTTATTAAGAAAAAATAAACTCATCTTGTATTTTTTTTAGTCATCACCTTGATGAAATAGTAATTTCTCAATATACTTGGACAATGGACACTTTAAGGGCATTATAATTAATGTTTAATAATGAAACGTCAGCAAATTATTTATTCATTCAGATTATACATTTAGGTTATTTAAATGAAGTGAAATAACTCGTTTAGTTTACATTTACTTAAGTTTGATTAATGAAAAGTATAAAATACGAACTCTTGTCTTGTTACAAGTACTGCTAACTAGATCATCATCATCATCATCATCAACAGCCTATAATGCCCACTGCTAAACAAAGCCTCTCACACGGAGGAGGTTTGGGCATAAATCACCACGTTTGCTCAATACGGATTGGCAATTTCAAACTTATAATTAGAAATTATAAGTCCAGGTTTACTTACGATGTTTTCCTTCACCGCGCACCGGTTGTTAGTGGTGTCTCAATAATCTTAGAAAGTTCATATAACTCGGAAAAAGTCACATTAGTACTTGCCGTTGGTAGGTTTCGAACCCGCACTCTCATGCATGAGAAGCGGGCGTCTTGAACCTAGCCACCACGACACACGCTAACTAGATACTGAATGAATAAATACTGAATATTACCAGATTTTAAACGTATTATAATAACTATCGTGAAACATACTGGACTAACTAAAAATTACAAGTACTCACGTATGTAAATGTACTGAGAAAAGCTCTACTAGTTTCGAGTCACAGTGGGGCTCATCATGCCTGTACCTCTGTGACGGCCTTTAACCCGCTATTTTTAGTTAATGTTGATTTTTGAGGTTCCATTTCACTTGACATTTGCTTTTTCCTTTACAATTGTTAGTGCTAGGACCGTGCGAGACTTTGCCTCACCATTTCTTTTCTAATTATCCATATTCTGACGGTTTGAGTATTTGTGCGACCCACGCAAATGTTCTTTAGGTTGGTATTGTTCGTCGAATCAGTCAGCCTCACCTGTTAATAGAGCCGACTGTAAACCGACACATGCGTACTGCCTTCAGAACGGGTCCGCTCAAACTGTTGTGGTTCTTTCCTCAAAAGGCTACTACAGAAAGAACTTGCACGGTTCTCACACATAATCTATTATACATATTGTCTGGACTTTAAAAGAGACAGACCTCTGAGTTTGTTTCGGCATTTCTTCTCAGAGTAGTCAGTTAGGAAATGTCGACCTCATCGTTCGCTTGATAAAATTGACGTGTAAAAGTGCTGCCTTGTAGCCTATTTGCAGAAATAAATTCACTTGTTTCACTTGTTTCACTTGTTTCACTATATTTCTGTATGTCTAAGTAACCAGCAACTTAGTTAGAGTGCAATAAAAATGTCTACAACAACATTAAAGGGTGCTTCTACTTAGCCGACCGAGCGATTTGGGGGAGGCCTGTATTCAGCATTAGACGTTTTGTGGTTGGTATGAGCTAATAGAAAGGCGATTAGATAATATTACGTTTGCAGACTCTTGATTTTGTCGACGATACTATGAACACTCTTAACTGTTAGCCCTAATGCTTACCTATCCATGATCCTTCTTCTCTGGTGAGCTGGATGTGGGAGTTAGGGTCCTTGACCTGCGGCAGCAGGATGGCGGGGAACCCCACCACGGAGCCGTGGCCGATGGTGGTGAAGCAAACCGTGGCTGACACGAAGCACTGGAAGGATAAAGATTGGTGGTCAGAATTTTAAGAAAAGTTTAGGTAATTTCAAATTTCCTATGATATTAGGGACATCCTGACTAGATATTAAACCTAGTAATTTCAAAATGCTTTAAAAAGTCAAAAATACAGTAACAAAAACAGTGTGCCGTCTTTTGATACAAAAAATGAAACTAGTTTTCCTTCCGAAGTATGTTAGATTTCCAGTGTTTTAACTTTTGTTTATAGCTATATCTACGAAAATACCGTTAGTTACTTTAATTAATAACAATCTATGTACATTTAGATAATCGCTGTTAGTTCCAACTATGAAATCATAAACAGCTGCACAGATGTTTGTAAAGAACCGAGCTATTACTATCGATTCTAATTAATATGTAGTACATCCATGTAAGTATTTATTAATGTCCTCAAAAATGTAACTTCGCAATTGTATTTTGACGTAACAACGTTTTATAAATTGGTTTGCCGGGTGACACTTCAAGAAACTGCGTTACGCTCCGCTCACGTTATGCGCTCACAATGAGAGCGAGTGAGAGGCACGCGTCCCTTCCACACAGGCATGCTAAGAGCAAGAGAGACAGACATAATATTTTACCACTCAAAGTCGTTGTCACGTAAAACTTTCGCCCGTATACCGACTTTACAGGCAAACAATTTTTTTTTTAGAGGTATGAAGGAATCGTAGTAATTGGCTTCCCGTCTCTGCCTACCCCCATGGGAGACAGGCGTGAAGTTATGTATGTATGTATTTTTTAAGTAAAGTTAATATAAAACTTGTAACCTAAGTTGTTTTTAAGTTGACTAAAAACGGAACCTTCCTACATAAATAAACATTTTACTGTGCGAATCTATCTGTTCATGAGAACCTATGAGTATATAGGAAACCATAGACGCAAGATATTACCATTATCATTTATGATAGATATTTAAAATTTATGACTACCTATATTTTCGCAAATCGAATTTTATTATTTATTCCTCACTTCAAGATGATGAATTAATTGCTGCCTAGTAATAAAAACAGCTGTGGATGAATAATAATAAAAATAAAAACAACCAGTATAAAATTTAATTCAGACAAGATTAGATAACTCTCTTGACAATATTAGTTCAATTTTTTTATACTTGATAGGTCGAAGTTTGGCCACCATCTCGCCTGGTGGTGCACGATGATGTGGCCGACGATGGAGCGCGCCCCTACCTATGAGCAACCTGTTCATTCGGGACTTGAAGACACCCAAGTCATATTTGTCAGGAAACACAGACTCCGGCAAGGAATTCCATTCCTTAGCTTTTCTTTCCTTCAATTGTAACGAGTGCTGATTCTTTCAGCCAGGAGTAGTACACCAAACACTACTTAGGTACGCCTTAGTCTGAATTTTCACCATCACGCCCTATTCACTCTGTACCTTATTTAAAAGGCGGTAATCATCAAATGACTCCTCCATCCTTGGGCGATACGAAAGGGAGTATCAGACTCTTACTGACTTAAAAACCACCCCGTTCCTTAACCCCTCGAGCGTCCTTATGAGCACCCGGTGGATCATAAGAAAAAATCACAATCAAATCAAATGCTCCAAATGTCACGTGTGCACCCGTTGGATCATAAGGAAAGCGGACGCTCGACGGGTTAATCCAGCTTCGAGTCAGAGCCCCGGCAACCCGTTATGTTGTCCAGTAGCTCCGATAACTGCATCTACTTATTACGTACCTACCTGTAGATTTCATTGTTGAAACCTGTGTCAAGTCAGGTCTCAACCCTGTACCCAGGGCCGTCTTGGACTACTTCGGGACCCTTTTGGATTGTGTTTTTTTAACGTTGCCCCACACTAGGATTTTCTCCTGTATCGTGGGTCCGTTTACAAAAATACAAGTTCACATACACATGACACACAGACAAAGATTTGCGCCGTGCGGAAACCGAACGAGCTACAAGTGCCGCAGCAACCGGTTGCCGTGTCCGTCGTCGTCGTAGTCGTCGGTCCTTCGGGGCCCTTGGAGGATGGGGGCCCTGAGTACGGGCCCCGAGTACCCTTATAGTTAAGACGGTACTGCCTGTACTTTAATACCGTATGATTGCCTCAGACTCGGTGAGATTACTCCACGCGCCCCAGCTTGCCTTGACACAGCCAGACCTTATGTAATAGCAGCAAGTATACAAGTATGTATGTATTGTACAATTATCTACAGAATTTATAATTTTGCACTAGTTTTTAGAGCAATTAGTATACCTCGATATATCTGTACTGCTTTTTCAAAAGGTGCATAGTTAACTATTACATAGGTACTAGTTTTTAAATTTTGACCTTGTCCGCGTAAGTATTCCTGTTTTATTCCATCGGGATAAAAAGTATCCCATCACCTAAGTCAGCCCACACCCTGTCTGTATACTAAAATTTCATCAAAATCCGTTCTATTTTATAAATATTTAAGCGTGATTGACGGACAAACATCCAAACAATGAAATTTTTACATTTATAAAAAAAATATTCAGTATGATTATTGCCAACAGTCAACAGTAAAAAATGTCGTGGTGGCCCGGAGGTTTAAGACGCCCGCTTCTCATGCATGAGGGTAGGGTATAGGTTCGAAACCACAGATATATTAAATTTTAATATTTCTGTGTTCGAAACCTACCAACGGCAAGTACCAATGTGACTTTTTCCGAGTTATATGTTCTTTCTAAGATTATTTAGATATCACTGAGAAACGGTGAATGAAAACATCGTGAGGAAACCTGGGCTTATAATTTCTAATTATAAGTTCGTAATCGCCAACCTGCATTGAGCCAGCGTGGTGATTAATGCAGTGGGCATTTATAGGCTGTTGATGGATTGCCAATAAGGTAGATAACTAATTTTTATTTGACTGTCCATCTGGTAAATTATTTTAAAACATTAGACATGTATTTTTTTTTCTTACAGAAACGAATACTTTCAACGATGTAATGTATTGATTTAAAGTATCGCGTGACGTCAAATTCAAAGCATTTATTTCAATTAAACCATACTTTGGTACTTTTGAAGTGTCAACAAATACAAAAGCGCACCAACCTGCTGCAGCGAGCGCCACTGACGCGCGCCTTGCGCACGCTCAACGCAGTGTCGAGTGGGGTCGACTTGTTCGTTGAATGAGTTCACAAGAGCCACCTACAGTGTTGTTAGTATTTTTTTTTTTTTTTTTTTAATATTACATTTCTTATTCTCCACGGACTCTTGTCCGTGCCCTTGTCATTCCATTACATTATCTTTTAATTTACAGTCAAAATTAATTGTTACAAAAATCTTACGTGCTACATTAACCACATTCTTTTTTTTTTCCACAAAGAAGGTTGTGTCTAATATCTATATATACACAATACATGTTTTATTACATTTACATTAACCTTACTGGACCGGCCCACACGCGCGATGAGCGAGCCGACCTGCTCCAGCAGAAGGCGCCCGTTCACGAGCATGACGTGAGGGCCAGCAATCGGTCCGATCAACCATTTCGTAGGGAACGGAGCGACCCAGTCCACAGCGCCACCGACTGTAGAACATTTAAGAATGCATGACGTCTGCTCACGCAGCAGTAAGCCGATTCCAGTAGTGCCAATGTATTTTGTCAGTCTTATTGATAAAATTTACATTACGTTACATTATATTTACTACATTTTAACATTATTAAACACACACAAATATATATTAATGTCACGCTTGCATCACAATTCAAGCTTACAGCGAGCCCTCCCCACCCAAAAGAGCGCCCACTACCGCCATGTCCCTGTTGCTGATAGCCATTTTCAAGTTATAGTCCAGGATCCCCCGCTCACTCTCACCCACCGCTCGTCTGATTAATTTGCTGATCGCGTCGTCACTGATATTCGTGTAGTAAACACAGCTGTTAGTGTGACGGGATATAGCTACCACGGCGTGCGATACACTGTCGTGTATCCGCTGTTTCTTCTCCGCTGTATTCACAACAACCACTGCCGCGTACGAAAGCCCCTGAGCCTCGTGTATTGTGAGTACGCGTGATCCCACACCCGATCCGTATCCCTGGTTTTTAAGGGATTCCTTTTCTACCTGAGTGTGTACCAGGTATAACGTGTTCGGAGGAGATTTGGGTATTCGCGACCCTGAGAAGCTTTTTAACTCAAGGGATCTCACACCCGACGCGGACGAATATATGCCACTGTACACAGTACTAAGAGCATATGCCACATCCATAGGGTTTCTGTGAGTGCAGAGAAGTTCTTGGCTAATAGCCACGACGTGTGTAGGGCGGTTGTAAATGAGGGGGAAGAGGTTGTCTCGGTCAATGAAGGGAAGTTGATTTATGTCACCAATCAGCAGAACTTCTTTGGCCCGAGTTATTCGGGCCGCCATCACAATGGCTCCAAAGTGATTCATGAGAGCCTCATCAACCATGATTCGGTGGCAGCTCTCTTGCTCTTTTAATCCGTTCACTAAAATGGATGCCATTGTTCGGACTTTGGATTTGACTAATCCTCCGATTCGGCAGGATAGTTTGCCTCTGAGGTCATTTGCTGCTTCAGTTGTTGTGGTGACGATTAAATCTCTTTCCGCTTCGAATTTGTTTATTATCCAGGTAGTTTGCCGCATCCCGGCACTCCATTTGTCCAGTGAAATGTCGGGGCATCCCAGCCCCCAAAGTCCACGCCGCCCGGCCCAGGCTCCGAAATGGATCCCACCATTTCCAAGATCCGATCCTCCAACATGATCCTGGTGCACCCGGCAACTACCACTAAGGAGTCTTCAGGAGGAGTTTTAAATTTCACAACTCCCCGTTTATCCGATTCCTTCTCATCCAGAGACACAAATCCTGCGGTGGCGTTGTAAGCTGCCATACTACGACTTATAGAAGCTCCTCTCAATACTCTCGATTTACTGTTGTCGTATATGACCGCCTCCGCGGCCTCGAGTCTATCATTCAGTAACAGCTCGTTACCCTGCAGATATGTCTGCAGGATCGTTTTGCAAGTTCGCAAGTTAACTTGTTTTGTTGCCTCTATTACTGCGACAAACTCGAGGAAGGCGTTTATGAGGTGGTCTCTGGGAGTGGTGGCATGGCGAAACTTCGGCGGAGAGACGTGACCCATGGCGGCTCTGGTTGGCGGTGACCTGGACTGGGCAGGATGCACCCGAGCACTGTCGCCTCCCCCGCGAGTGGAGCCGGATTCACTCCTTCTGAAAGTCGACGAAATGAGACCCGCAGCTGTACATATGGCTGATGTTATTGCCCACATGTTGGTCCGTGAAGTTTGTTTTTTTATTTGTCTTTCGGTGTTTCGTTGTTGTTGCTGTAGAGCACTTTGTTCCGAATACCTGTGCTGCAGACGCTCCGAACCACTTGAAGAGCCAGCGATTGGTGAACTCTGGACCTTTTTTCTGAGGAAACTAAGGTCTTCACCCCTGTCCTCATAAACAATGACTTCATGCTGTTCTGAAGCTTGAATACAGCCCATGAGATCCGCTGTCTCTCCCCGCCGGAAAGCCACCACAGCAGCATCCACGCTGATAACTCTAGGATCTATGCCCTCTACTTTACCCCACTTACCTATACTGGTCAGCACCTTGCATGCTTGTTCAAAACAGGTTGTTGTATTGTTGCCAGAAAACATTGCGATTGTTTTATTGCGCGTCCGCAACAATCGACAGCTTTGACCGACCAGCTTTGTTTCTGGCAGTGCTTCATAGAGTTTGCGCCTCATGCTTGTTTTGAAAGTGCTGCCATTTAACAGGGAGGCAAGGCCTGGCGAGATTGTGAGCCATTTCTGGTGAGCGGTATTGCAGAAAGCGATCCCCAGTCTTTCGCTGCTGGTGCTCAGTTTGTTAGTATTTAAAACTTTAGTAGTGGTATTATTATTTTTTTTGTGATACTATGTTTAGATTTCGTATGTAT